TACTGGACCACCAAGGAAGCCCCCACCTTTCTTCTATATTTCTGCTCTTAGTACACGCAGAAAAAGCCCCTTCTCGAGAATCATTAACTTGATTTTGATGGGTATGATGTAGGTCTTATTCCATCATCATTTTATTGTTTGGGGGCATGTCTCATGCTTCTGAGGCACAGTTTTGTTGCCAAGCAAGTCTGTGTGGTTTTGTTGCTAGGCAAAGCCTGCTTGCTTTCTTTCTTAAGCAAGCCTGCTTTCTTGAGTGATCATTAACTTATGAGAGTCTTCCATACTTTGTACTTAAGATCCCCGTTGGAATTAACTAGTCGTCTACTTTGTCCCTTTACTCTGCCCCTAAGGTGTATGTGTTAGTTGCTCAGTCGTGTCCGACTCTTTGTGACCCCATGGATTGTAGCCTGCCAGGTTTCTCTGTCCATGGAATTTTCCAGGCAAGAATACTGGAGTGGATTGCCATTCCCATCTCCGAAGGAACTTCCCAACCCAGGGATCGAACCCCGGTCTCCTGCATTGCAGGCAAGATTCTTTACCGTTGGAGCTATAGGGAAGTCGTCCCTATGGTAGTAAACATATAAAGAGAGTCTACTGTGTACCAGGTACTTGTCATCACTCACTTTATCTTTCTAACAACCCCTAGAAGTAGGTGTCATTATCTCCATTTTCCAGATGTGGAAACTGAGGCATACAAGGTTCAGTTACTTACCTGAGTTCCTGTGGCTGGTTAGCATCAGAGCTGGTGTTCCACACAGGCAGGCTGACTCCAGGGCCCACTCCCTCCGACAGCCTCCCAGCAGTTGCCTCAGCCCTCAGGCAAGGCCACCTTCCTGGCCTCTGGCTTCCCATCCTCTTCTTGGTAGGGGGCTGGCTCTAATTGGAAGCTGTTTGTATCACAGTTCAAGGACCCAGCTATTCTGGGAACCGTGGAACAGTCTTTTCTTTATTACTTATTTGAATTAACCATTGTGTTGGTCTGAACCTCGGGGGTGGGGGGAGGCATTCCCACCTCCCTTCCCAACACCCACTATTTCAAGAAAGTTTCTTAAAACTGCAGCCGAGCCGTTTTTCTTGTTTCTCTTGGTTGGATGTGTTCCCCCGTATTCTCAGTGTTAGTACAATTTTTAATAAACCAAACCCTGGGAGGTAGATTGGCTGGCATGGAGAATGCAGGGGCTTGGAAGGTGAGACCCAAGTCTGAGTCCCATCAACCAGCATGAACCAGTGGTGCAGCCTTGGGTGAAATGATTGTCACTAACGATTGCTGTCCACTTGGTGTGTTTTCATGTTACACTGATGGTTACAGTTGTAGGGTAGGCCATCAGAATTTTCTGTTCACAAGCAACAGAGGTTGATACTGAGGGTTTATACAGAGGCATATGAGATAGCTCATGGAATTAAAAGCTTTAGGTTTAGAAGATGCAGACACCAGGGTAATTTTGGGGGTCCAGGTTAAAGGGAAGAAATCAACAGCTTGTTCAGTGTGGCCACTGGGGTGGTAAATACTAATGGCTGGCTATTTTCGATGACTGTTTTTAACCCTTTCCATCGCTGGCATCCCCTACAAAGACTGGAAATCCTGCCAGCCCCTTTGAAGCTAGGGACAGCCATGAGACACAGTTCCAGTCAGAACACATACCTGAGAGCTTTCTGAGAAGGGTTTTATTTTCCCAATAAGAGGGACAGAAACAACTGAAATTTTCTCATCTTGTCTTCCTGCCTTGAACCCAGATGCAATGCTGGAACTTCTGCCATCATTTTATGATCAGGAGGGAAAGACCCAAATTAGCACAAATATCCCAGCCCAGACATCACTGAGCAGCTCACTCAACTGCCAGCAGCTGCCCACCTCCAGGCTGAGTGCCCCGGGCCCCACCGCCCCACTCAGGGAAATGGACAAAGACGGTAGTTTATAAACACTCTGATGGGTTTGGGTACAGACAGTACTATGCACATGCTGTGCTAAGTCGCTTCAATCCTGTCCGACTCTCTGTGACCCTACGGACTGTAGTTCACCAGGCTCCTTTCCTCTGTCCATGGGATTCTCCAGGCAGGAATACTGGAGTGTGCTGCCATGCTCTCCTCCTCCGGGGGATCTTCCCGACCCAGGGATAGAATCTGCATCCTGCATCTCCTGCATTGGCAGGCAGGTTCTTTACCACTAGTGTCAGCTGGGAAGCCCCAATACTATGCATAGTTACTGAGAAAAATGAACTCATATACATACAGTGCCTAGACTAGTGCCTGGCACACAGTAAGCCCTCAAGTTGTCACCCAGTATGCTCCCTGTTCAAAAATTTAGAGCCAGGTCCCATTTATCTACCCTAGTAGAGTTTATGCATTATGCTGAGTTCCGCTTCTGGTCACAACACCATAACAAGCCCACAGTGCTCACATACAGGGTCAGCATGCAGGGGTTGACTAATCTGCATACGGCCCATAGCAGCAAGGGTGGGAAGAGCAGCAGCCCCCAGGAAGCTGATCACAGAAAGGAAGCTCCCTTCTCCACAGTCTTCTCCAGGGGATCTTCCTGAACCAGGGATCGAACCTGGGTCTCCTGCATTGCAGATTCTTTACCATCTGAGTCACAAGGGAAGCCCCCAGTGGGGTTATCACTGCCCAATAATGAACCCAAGACTAGTGACTCTCCAACTCATCTGGCCTTTGTAGTAGTGCCTGTTGGTGAGGGGTGGGGTGCTGTACCACATAGCACGTGGGATCTTAGTTCCATGAACAGGGATGGAACCTGCATTGAAAGTGTAGAGCCTTAACCACTGGACCACCAGGGAAGTCCCTGTATTCTTGCCTTTGGGTCCAGACATCCAACCCTTAGCCTAGGGCATGAGTCATAGCAACTATCTGCAGAAAGAAACCTCAAAACTTTAAGACTGTACAACCCCTGCTGATTCTGACTCCCAGCAGTGCTCTCCCTAGCTCCCTTTTAGCAGATTCTGCTTGAGAGAATGACCCCCTTCTCAATGCACTCTGGCCCCAAAGTGGGCACAAGACCCAGGAGAGCAAGCAGACAGTCTCACCCTGGCATCTAAATCTAGAAAGAGAATTCTGGAACTTCCTAACTCCTGGCTTTTTTCTTAATTAAAAATTTTTTTTTGGCCACACTGTACGGTGTGCAGGGTCTCAGTTCCCCAACCTGGGACTGAACTTGGGCCACGACAGTTAAAAGTGCTGAATCCTAACCACTAGACCACCAGGGAATTCCCCCCAATTCCTGGCTTTTTTCAGTCTGGTTGGATTCCTCTTCAAAGTTTCCCAAAATTCATTTCCTGCCTAAGTCAGTCAAAGTTTGTTCTTGTTCCTTAGAACTAAAAAGCACTATATGAAACGAGCTGCTTTGCTGTGGAATGGTCAGTACTTCCTCAGGCAGAAAAAGTCCTATCGAGGAAAGAGTCACACCGAGTTGCACTCTGTCTTTGAAAAGAATATTAAAGATGATGTAAGGAAAAGCACCGAATCAGCTAGGAACACAAAGCACCAAAGTAATGCTAGGCTGGGATGAGGAAGCCTCTGTCTTCATGTCCAAGTAACAGCCTACAGGAGAAACCTGGTACTAAGATCTCTTCTTTCAGTTGCTACCATTGGACATGTTTCGTATGTTGCTATCCTTTTGCGCCAATAACCACACTCGTGCATTTGATGAGATTTTATTTTCAGAAAAAAGGCAGGATTCATTTCAGTCTGTCCAGCACATCACAAAAACAAAGATTTAAAACAAAAATCAAGAAATTTCACCTTTATCTGTAAAAGTCAGGCTATGCTGTTACATACAGCCAAGATTGTAAGCATACAAATGTCATTAAGTCTACTGAATCTTATTCACCAGTACCCACAAGAAAAAAGGCAAAATTCTGTCCTCCTTAAAAGGTGGGCACTTTTTAGCAAACTGATAATGCTTCTGAAAGCCTCAGCACTTGTGATGATGCTAATAGCCCTTACAAATGTATTTTACACAATCTGTGCTGACTCAGCTAGGAGCCTACTGGCGGTGTGTCGGCAGGTAAAACACATCCCTGCAGACCTGTTACTGTTCATGATGACATCTGGAACTTTCAAATCCTAACCCCAAAGGCCCCTCCTGTTCCAGTCACTCATTATACATACACACATGAAGAGTGTTCCTACCAGTAACAGTTAAAATAAGCATACTTAATAACTGCAAGTCATATGTAACACAGAATATTCAAATGTTTAGTTTTTAACTGTGTGTGACAAAGCCAAGACAGCCTACCATGTCAACAGAAAAGGTAGGCAGTGGAAGGGATAGTTTTAACACGCTGTTCATTTATGCTACTGAGTTTTTCTAGCGAAAGACAGCAAAGCCAATACAAAATTGAGGGACAGAGGAAAACAGATTTGAGCCACTGGTACCTCTTGAAAGACAAACCTTGTGCTTCCATGCTCTGCCATCTGGAAAGCTTACCTCCTTCCCAGGCAGCTGAGAATACAACAGTCATTCCCACTACTCTTCTTTAAGAATTTCATTGTCCTGACTGACAGCCCACGTCTGAAAGATGCATCATGCCTACCTGAAAAAAGGCGCCATGAAAGGCGAGCATAAAGCATTCCTTCTGAGAGAGACTGTTGAAAAGGAGACCCCTGCCCCAGCTACCCCAAAAAAGTACTGATCACGCTAATTACATCCAAGGAACCAGAGGGAAACGTGTGAGGATTGCAGAGTAGCTCCTCAAGCTGTCCCTGCAAAGCTGGCCCCACTAAGTGCAGAGTAAGAAGCATGTCAACTCACTCAAATTACATGTGGTTCACTCTTAACTTTTTTCAACTCAAACAGGTCTTCTCTGCCAACAGGACTGGTCTTCAGAGTCTTTCTGAGTTCCTCTATTATTCAAGTTGCTCAAGCTAGTTTTAGTCTTTCCCAACAGGATCCAGTTGGAAAACAAAAAGCCTTTGGAACACAGCATCACATGAAGAAAGGAATATATAGAAACAGGATACTCAGGAGAAACCCTCCTGGCATAGATTTAGAGATAAAAGCGGCAGACTGCCACTAGCAACAGAGTGACCAGCAGTGGTGTCTTCTCGGATATACTTGTCCCGTCACTTTTGTTACACAGGTTCTTCTGGCAGCAGTGATACTGGAGCTCCTTCTCCCCTAAGATTCTTGCAATGGACTCAAAATTGCAATCTTGAAACCTCCAACACTGGCGGTAAAATTTTAGCGGCACTGTGGGAAAACACACACATACAAGGGTAAGCAATCAAGCAGGTAAAGCTCTATACTTGTCTTTGAATTCTCATATCTGGCTAAAAAGATGCAGGAGCCAGCTCTGAATGGAACCTCTCCATAAAGCCAGAGTCTCAGCAGAGCCAGAACAGCTGTGTGTGCATAGGAGGCAACAGGCAATGATATTAATGTTTGAGATTTATCAAGATTTTTAAATGCATGCCCTCTTTGATTTGGCAATCCCACTTCTAGGATTTACTCTCTGAATGACTTGAAAAAAGGGTTAAGATACATGCTCAAGAATGGTCACTGCACTGTCTGTAGCAGCAAGAAACTAAAAGACAGCCTGTTAACAAAAAAAAAGCATCTGAATAAATTATAGTAGAGGTTCCCCACAACAAAGTTCCATGCAGATAAGGAATATGTCATAGGACTATGTGTGTTGACATGGGAAGTTTTAGTTTCTTTAAAAAAAAAATGCAGAAAAAATAGATAAATTGGACTTCATCAAAATTAAAAACTTTAGTGCTTCAAATAAGGAACACTTTAAAAAATTAAAAAGACAAAACCCACAAAAGGAAGAAAATGTTTATAAATGACACATAAGAGAAGAGTGAAACACAACTGAACAATAAAAAGACAACCCTATTAAAAAATGGGCAAAGGATATAGACACTTCAAAGATATACAAATGACCAATAAGTGCATGAAAAGATGCTCAATATCATTAGTCATTAAGAAAATACAAATCAAAACCACAATGAACATCAATTCATACCAACTAGGGTGGCTGTAATCAAGAAACTGGAAAATAATTAGTGTCATGGAATATTAGAACCCTCATATATTGCTTGTGGAAAGGTAAAATGGTGCAGGTATCTCAGAAAAGTCTAGCATTTCCTCAAAAGGTTAAAAATAGCTTCCATATGACCTAGTAATCCTACTTCTAGGTAAATACATCACCCAAGAGAACTGAAAACTATGTTCACACAAAAGCTTATATACCAATGATCACAGCAGCATTATTCAAAACAGCTAAAAAGTGGAAACAACCCAGATGTCCATTAACTGATGAACGGATAAATAAAATGTGGTATATCCACCTAATGGAATATTATTTGGCCATAAAAAGGGAAAAGGTACTGTGATATATCCAATAACATGGGTGAATCTTAAGAACCTCATGCTCAGTGATAGGAGCCGGTCACAGAGGACCACAACATTTTATGGTTCAGTTAATATTCAGAACAAGCAAATCCATGGAGACAGAAAGTAGATTAGTAGCTGCCAGGGTGTGTGGGAAGGAGGAATGGGCAGTGACTGCTAATAGGTATGGGGCTTCCTTTTGGGACCACAACAATGTTATGAAATTAGACAGTGGTGATAGTTTTACAGACTTGTGAATATACTAAAGACCACTGATTTATACACTTTAAATTGAACTTTGGAACTGAGATATGTGAATTCCATCTCAAGAGAAAAAAGCCTAGATGCAGAGCAATATGTAGAATGTGGTCCACTTGTATAAATCATACGTGTGGGGCTAAATACATTAATTTTCTCTGGGAAGAATTCCCAAGGAATTTAACAGTGTTACCTTCACAGAAGACTATCTTTCATTTATATATTTATTATATTTATATGTGGATTGAGATTTAAAATAAAGTCACTGGATGAATTTATTTCCAAAATATTTTAACTTCCTTTAAAGATCATTAGACTATTCAGTAACACAGGAAAAACTTTCCAAAAGAATATGCAGTTGTGGTTCTAATTTCTGCACAACAAAGGAAAATAAAGGCCAAAAGTATATATGCCAAGTATCTTATATTGGCATAAATAATTAGATAAACTATGTTAAGTGGGGAAAAAAAGTGTTGAGAGAGAAGAATTATCTTAGATTTTCCTCTTCAAAAGTTACAGTATGTGCTAGATGCTAGGGACACACAGACATATCAATAGAAGGCTGGTGCTTGCCCTGGCATCCCTTTCTTTTCTTCTGTGTTGGAAAGATAAAAAGTACAGACGCCTATTTTTTTATGTATAGAAGGCTGGTGCTTGCCCTGGCATCCCTTTCTTTTCTTCTGTGTTGGAAAGATAAAAAGTACAGACGCCTATTTTTTTATGTAAGGCTTGTAACTAATTTATCCAACTGCACTCACAGCTCAGAACAAAAACCCCTAAGTTAATAACTGCAGGTTATAACTGTTCTGTACTCCCCTTCAGAGATGAGGTGCTGGCCTGGATTTTAATGAAGTTTGGTCAAGTGCAAGAGGCCAGAACAAGTGTTTCAGTGACTCTGCTTGTTTGGGTCATAAGCATTTAAGAGGCTGCTTCTAAAACTGTACTAAAAATACTGTTGAATAGGACAAGTTACTGCCTTACGTAATAATAATCAGACACTGGAACTAGGAAGTCATTAAAGCCACCAGAATATTAATTTGGGAAGCCTAACAGCTTGAGGAGGGCAGATTAATTTTGTCCTAATTATTCATTTATAAATTAGTCATTTATTAATCACTGCTACCAATTAATCACATACTACTTGTCCTGGTGGCTCAGAGGTTAAAGCGTCTGCCTGCAATGCGGGAGACCTGGGTTCGATCCCTGGGTTGGGAAGATCCCCTGGAGAAGGAAATGGCAACCCACTCCAGTATTCTTGCCTGGAGAATCCCATGGACAGAGGAGCCTGGTGGGCTACATTAGTCCATGGGGTCGCAAAGAGTCAGACATGACTGAGCAACTTCACTTTCACCTGTCCTGCAGTGAGCCAAGCATTTTACTTGAATGATCTTATCTGCATAACAACCTTACAAGGGTGAGCTTCTCACCAAAGCCACTATCAGAATGACCTGAATAAAAGTGGATTACATCAGTCACTGGAATGTTGAAGGTTCTCTCTCTGGGCACAGCCTCTCTGCCCTTTTTGAAGATTTGGTTCAAGTCTGCTTTTACCAAGGAACAGTCCCAAATTGACTTAGGGACCCTTAAGTATGTCCCTTATTTGAAAGGCCATTTCAGCAATGATTGCTTGACACTGTCATCAGAAGCTCTGCCAGACTGCAAGTACATGGTTTATACTTCCAGGACCTAGCCAGGATGCCAGTAAACAGTGGCTGAATTAATACCCATCTGTCTCTCTTCCAGATGGCATCTGCATAGCGCTATCATACACATTTCTCCTCTGACTGCCCTACTGACCTTGGGAGATAAGGATCCCCATTTCACAGTCTGGGGGTGTGAAATGTGGTTAAATAACTTCTCCAATGTGCGCTTGGCCTTTGGCTCATGTTCCTGACGATGTGTACTCTGCCTCTCCCAGGCTGATGTCAGAGCTGCAGGGGGATTTAGAGGCTCTCTTAGTGTCTGCCTTACGGTAAGGTCTGAGTATCTATATTTCAAGAACTGCTGCTACCACATGTCGAGCTGGAGTTTTGGGACATATGTTCATGAGAAGGAAATTATTACTTAAGATTCACATCATCCTTAAAAAAAAATTATATTTTAGAGTTTTAGATTCACAGCAAAATTGAGCAGAGTTCCTATATAGCCCTCTGACACCCCCAGCCACGACCCCAAACAACCTCCCTCACTATTAACATCTCCAACACCTCCATGTGTTGCAACTGATGTCATCATGATCACCCAAAGTCCTTAATTTACATTTAAGTTCCCTCTGGGTGTTGTATATTCTATGGGGTTTGACAAAACATATGATGTGTATCCATCGCTATAGTGGTTGCCCTAAAAATCCTGTGCTCCACCTGTTCATGCCTCCCTCCTCCCCACTTAACCCCTGGCAGTCACTGTCCTTTTGATTATCTCCTTAGTTTGCCTTTTCTGAAATACGTTGTTGGAATGACAACTGTACTTAGCCTTGCCCAAGGGACTTCTTTCACTCAGCAATATGCAGTTTCCTTCATGTCTTTTCATGGATTGATACCTCATTTCTCCATTCTCTGGATGTACCACCATTTATTTATCCATTCACCTACAAAGGGGCATCTTGGTTGCTTCCAAGTTTAGGCAATTATGAATAAAGGTGCTATAAACATCCATGTGCAGGTTTTTTGTATGGACCTAACTTTTCAACTCATTTGGGTAATGAAATCAAGGAATGCAATTGTTGAATCTACGGTGAGGGTACGTTTTGTTTTTTAAGGAACTGCCAAACAGTCTGTACCAATTCACATTTCCACCAGCAGTGAATGAGAGCTCTAGGAGCTCCACACCCTCACTGCTATCTGCTGTGGTCAGTGTTTTACATCCTGGCCTGTCTAATAGATGTGCCTCACTGTTTACATTAACTGTTTTTAAGTGTAACAGTTCATTATAAGATAAGTAAATTCTGGGGATCTAATGTACAGCATGGTGACTGCAGTTAATAATGTGGTTAGTCGCTCAGTCTTATCCAACTCTTTGTGACCCATGGACTGTAGCCCGCCAGGCTCCTCTGCCCATGGAGATTCTCCAGGCAAGAATACAGGAGTGGGTTGCCATGCCTTCCTCCAAGGGATCTTCACAACCCAGGGACTGAACCCAGGTCTCCCATATTGCAGGCAGACTCTTTACCATCTGAGCCACCAGGGAAGCCCATGAATACTAAAGTGGGGAGCCTATCCCTTCTCCAGGGGACCTTCCCGACCCAGGAATCAAACTGGGGTCTCCTGCATTGCAGGCGGATTCTTTACCAGGGAGTTAATAATACTAGATTGTCTATTCAAAACTTGCTTAAGAGAATAGATCTTAAGTGTTTTCATCATACACAATAAGGTAATAATGGCACGGGGTGAATATTAATTAGACTGTGGTAATCACTGCAGATGGTAACTGCAGCCATGAAATTAAAAGACGCTTGCTCCTTGGAAGGAAAGTTATGACCAACCTAGACAGCATATTAAAAAGCAGAGACATTACTTTGCCAACAAAGGTCTGTCTAGTCAAGGCTATGGTTTTTCCAGTGGTCATGTATGGATGTGAGAGTTGGGACTATAAAGAAAGCTGAGTGCTGAAGAATTGATGCTTTTGAACTGTGGTGTTGGAGAAGACTCTTGAGAGTCCCTTGGACAGCAAGAAGATCCAACCAGTCCATCCTAAAGGAGATTAGTCCTGGGTATTCACTAGAAGGACTGATGTTGAAGCTGAAACTCTAATGCTTTGGCCACCTCATGAGAAGTATTGACTCACTGGAAAAGACCCTGATGCTGGGAGGGATTGGGGGCAGGAGGAGAAGGGGACACCAGAGGATGAGATGGCTGGATGGCATCACTGACTCGATGGACATGAGTTTGAGTATACTCTGGGAGTTGGTGATGGACAGGGAGGCCTGGCGTGCTGCGATTCATGGGGTCGCAAAGAGTGCCTATGACTGAGCGACTGAACTGAATCATTTCACACTTTAAATATATACAGTTTTTATTTGTCAATTATACTTCAATAATGTTAGAAAACAATTAAAATGAAAGTTTAGCCATTTAGGTAGGAAACAATAGGATTAGAGAGCTGGAAAAAAAAATTTCAATTTCACTCTACTTTCCTCTTCCCTTCTCTCCACCTCTACCATCCAATATACCCATTCTGTCAATAAAAAAACACAGGCAGGAAGAATTTACTGCTGGCAGGACAGAGATCTGAGCTCAAAGCTTCTAACTGTTAATCTAATACTCTACACATAATACTGCCTTTATTATCTCATTGGGAAATAATACTTTTTATCATGGGGGTCCAAGAGACAGATGATCAGGGTTAAGAAGTAGGTCTCTATACATCTGAGTCTCTTTTTCTGTTTTGCATATAGGGTTATCGTTACCATCTTTCTAAATTCCATATATATGTGTTAGTATACTGTAATGGTCTTTATCTTTCTGGCTTACTTCACTCTGTATAATACTTGTGGACCCTGTGGGAGAAGGCGAGGGTGGGATGTTTCAAGAGAACAGCATCGAAACATGTGTATTATCTAGGGTGAAACAGATCACCAGCCCAGGTTGGATGCATGAGACAAGTGCTCGGGCCTGGTGCACTGGGAAGACCCAGAGGGATCGGGTGGAGAGGGAGGTGGGAGGGGGGACCGGGATGGGGAATACATGTAAATCCATGGCTAATTCATTTCAATGTATGACAAAAACCACTGCAATGCTGTAAAGTAATTAGCCTCCAACTAATAAAAATAAATGAAAAAAAAAAAAGAAATAGGTCTCTGTGTTTGTAGATAACTGGTGCTCAAATATTTGTGGCTGTTCTCTCTGGGGGCCTCATTGTGCTTTCTACATTAGCAATGAATCAACATGGGCTTCCAGGTGAGGCAGAGGAACTGTCTCCCTACAGAAACAAGGACCTCACATGCAGGCCTTGGAATTAGAACTGCATTCCAGGAACTAGTACCAAAATTAAAAGATACTCCTACTATTTACACAGGAGAATTCTAATTCATCCTGACTTACTGAGGGATTTTTCCTTTCTGGGGAAATCAATCTCCCTCTTCTTTCTATCAGGTTTTTCTGTGCTTGTGGGTCTCCCAAAACTTTTCTGAGTTTACCTGATGTGATCAGTATTCTTTGAAGGATGCTGGGAAGAATCTGCATAGAGAGTGTGAGTAAACTAACTTGGAGGGTGTTTTGATTTTTGTCTCTTAAGAGATGGAAGTTGGGGGTTTACCTTGTACCAAGGTAGACCCTGAAATAGCTACTCCTTGCCTCACAATATCTTTTCTACATGTCAATTCAACCCAGAACCACACCCATCAAGAGTTGGAGGGCATGATGTGGCTGGTTTCTTGCCTCTGCCCACCATTTCCTAAATTCTGCTTTAACAGGATTTATGGAAGAGGCAATTCCATAGTCTAACGAATTTGGAAAATGCAGATTTGACAGACCTTGCCAATGAAGGCCATTGCCCATCCCAAGCCCGTGAGTGCCTTGCTCTCTGAGGCCACAGAGCCTCGGTACCTGCTTTGCCTTTCTTTGGAACACCCTTCTCCGCTTGGTCCTCTTACTTCCTATTTGTCTGCTGAGCTCAGCTTGAGTCCCCTTAGGACCCTGCATATATTAAATTCCCCCGAGAATGATACACGAGTATAAGTAAATAAAGACATCTGTGACAGCTACACAGCCTCTCACAAGTTTCATTGTCTCCTTTCTTCACTTTTGTATCTCCAGCTCCTAGCTCAGGCTCTAGCACATGGCAGGCTCTCAAAAGTTCAGGAGGCAGCCAGTGTAGGTGTTGTGAGAACAAGTGTTGGAACTGGATGGATTTCCCTATTCAAATCCTGACCTGGTTTCCTTGACCTTAGCGTGTTGCTTTATCTGAATCTCAGTCTCCTTGTTTACCAAATGGGAATAAAATATTACCCCAAGTGGTAGATGGAAAGCGTTAAATTAAAAAAAAAAAAAGGAAAAACAAAATAAAAACAAGTGAAAAGTGCTTAGTGTCGTATGCAACTGGTGCTATTAAATGGTAGCTATTACTTATTGAATACATGTCTAACAAAAAAGAAGGTGGCACGGATTTTTTTCCCAGGCCCTCTTCATCCCATTACACTCAGGCAGAGAGGGGAGGGGGAGGCTCTTACCAGCCTTAACGTAGAGACAAGCATCTTGATTATGTGAACAGTTGGTGGCTGTGGTGCAGTCAACTTGGTTAACACAGGTGTAGCACTGCAGGCTGTGACCTAGAATCAGGAAGAATGACCGTCAGGACCTGGTAGATAAGCAGGGACTCACGCTCCTGGCAGCAGAAGCAAGCCCACCATCTCCAGTAGTGTGGGTCAGAGGTCAGCAACTCACAGTGGGATGCCTTCCCACACAAACCTGCAGCAGACATAGTTTTTGAAGTTCAGACTACAGTTCCAGCAGTGGTTTTCCAGACCCTGTGGCATGTGCAAAGGGAATGTCCAGGTTTCAAAGCACATTTAATTGTGCAATTGAGAAGCTTTCTCCTACTTTCAACCAGAAGTGATTAATCTGCAATGTTATAACATGTTGAAAGGCACCCATCAAGAGAATAAACTAGCAGAATTCTATAAACATCTTCCGCAACAAATATGCTCTGACATCACATTCTCATGGACTGATCATCGGTATTTGGTAGCACCTATCTGTGTGAAAAGACATGTTCCAATATGAAATACATTAAATCTATCACAAATCAGTATCAACACATGAACATTTGCAACTCATGTGATGATGGGGAACACTAAATTTTTTTTTTCATTTATTTTTATTAGTTGGAGGCTAATTACTTTACAATATTGTAGTGGTTTTTGTCATACATTGACATGAATCAGCCATGAATTTACATGTATTCCCCATCCCGATCCCCCCTCCCACCTCCCTCTTTACCCGATCCCTCTGGGTCTTCCCAGTGCACCAGGTCTGAGCACTTGTCTCATGCATCCAACCTGGGCTGGTGATCTGTTTCACCATAGATAATATACATGTTTCGATGCTGTTCTCTCGAAACATCCCACCCTCGCCTTCTCCCACAGAGTCCAAAAGTCTGTTCTGTACATCTGGGTGACACTAACTTTTGAATCAGTGTAAGCAAAATGTTATTCTCCCAGAAATAATTCCATTTTTATTAGTAGGGCTGTATCACAAATAATTGTACTCAATTATTAATTTTTGAATCAATTAAAAACTTAAGAGAAACTTGTTTTCTCTCTTATTTATACAAAAGCCTACAAAATACCCTTGGTTTTTGTCTCTTGGCCTGCAAAGCCTAAAATATTTACTATCTGGCCCTCTAGAGAACAAGTCTGTTGGCCTCTGGGATGAGGCATCCTCGGCGTGGCTGTTCCCTGCTGAGGGACTGGCCCATCGCCAGGAGCAAACACAGCCAAGGGCCGGGCAGCAGCCGTGTGTCCTAAACCCATATGGGTGAAGAGTCACTGCACAGTGACACTGAACATGGGGCTGGCTCCTGCTAGAAGCAAATGCCGCTGGTTCCCCAGTCTGAAAAATGACCACCACTCTCATTCCATTCTTAGCATTCCTCTTTGGTGGCTAGACTTCAAGCTTCACTGATTTTCCCTTCTGTTTTCTATAACAGTGGTGACAGGACAAAGATCGGTCATATTCCACATGTGCCATGTAATCAGTATTTGGCAATACCCCTATGTATGTGCAAAATTCTCCAAGCCAGGCTTCAGCAATACGTGAACCGTGAACTTCCAGATGTTCAACCTGGTTTTAGAAAAGGCAGAGGAACCAGAGATCAAACTGCCAACATCCACTGGATCATCGAAAAAGCAAGAGAGTTCCAGAAAAATAGCTATTTCTGTTTCATTGACTATGCCAAAGCCTTTAACTATATGGATCACAGTAAACTGTGGAAAATTCTGAAAGAGATGGGAATACCAGACCACCTGACCTGTCTCGTGAGAAACCTGTATGCAGATCAGGAAGCAACAGTTAGAACTGGACATGGAACAACAGACTGGTTCCAAATAGGAAAAGGAGTACATCAAGGCTGTATATTGTCACCCTGCTTATTTTACTTATATGCATAATACATCATGAGAAATGCTGGGCTGGAAGAAGCACAAGCTGGAATCAAGATTGCTGGGAGAAATATCAATAACCACAGATATACAGATGACACCACCCTTATGGCAGAAAGTGAAGAGGAACTAAAAAGTCTCTTGATGAAAGTGAAGGAGGAGAGTGAAAAAGTTGGCTTAAATCTTGACATTCAGAAAACTAAGATCATGGCATCTGGTCCCATCACTTCATGGCAAATAGATGGGGAAAGAGTGGAAACAGTGTCTGACTTTATTTTTTTGGGCTCCAAAAATCACTGCAGATGGTGATTGCAGCCATGAAATTAAAAGATGCTTACTCCTTGGAAGGAAAGTTATGACCAACCTGGATAGCATATTTAAAAACAGAGACATTACTTTGCCAACAAAGGTCCGTCTAGTCAAGGCTATGGTTTTTCCAGTAGTCATGTATGGATGTGAAAGTTGGACTATAAAGAAAGCTGAGTGCTGAAGAATTGATGCTTTTGAACTGTGGTGTTGGAGAAGACTCTTGAAGAGTCCCTTGGACTGCAAGGAGATCCAACCAATCCATCCTAAAGGAGATCAGTCCTGGGTGTTCATTGGAAGGACTGATGCTGAAGCTTAAACTCTAATACCTTGGCCACCTCATGTGAAGAGCTGACTCACTGGAAAAGACCCTGATGCTGGGCAGGAGGAGAAGGGGACAACAGAGGATGAGATGGCTGGATAGTACCACCGACTCGATGGACATGGGTTTTGGTAGACTCCAGGAGCTGGTGATGGACAGGGAGGCCGGGCGTGCTGCGATTCATGGGGTGGCAAAGAGTCGGACACGACTGAGCAACTGAACTGAACTGATGAGAAGACATTTTCAAAGATGAAATGTGTAAAGTGTCATAAAAGAATGGCATAGTGAAATCAAGACCAAAATGTGGGTTTTAGCACCCAAGAGCAGACTTTTAGTCCTAAGGCCATAGCCTGGGTTTATCACCAGGGAGAAGAATTTTCAGAAGGCCAGAAGAAAGTGGCTCCTCACTTTCTGAGCAGTCAGGAGTGAAGCACTCTATAACATCTTAAATGACCACGTCTGCCTTCACAGATGTGAAATCCCAACTAGCAGAAGACCCTCTGATTTGAGAAGGTTCCAGGCTAAACTTTGAAACATCAGCCCCCCAAACCCCCCCTCCTCCATTTTGCTTGCAGATGACAAGACAGATGTCTGGAGAGGAGGTGTGACTCCATCAAGAACACCCAAAGCACTGCATGCAGCAGAGATGACGCTAAGGCCTGGGGCCGGGCTCCCCTGGTCCTCCCTGCCTCTTCTCTGCCAGGCTCAGTGCTTGCCACGCCTGCGTGAGACGGCAGTCACCACGAGAAGGGACAAAGATGCCACTTTTCAACAATCTGCTCCAGAAGTGTGTCCATCTGATAGAGCAAAGAGTGAAGAGGGAGAGGATATTCTCGCCTGGCGATCCAAGAGGGCCATTTGGAAAGGCTGCCCATGGGAGTACAGTTTCTCCTGGCTACAGCCAGAGTTCATTTGGCTTCCTGACAAACCTTCGGACAGAGGAAAGCGAGCTCACCTCTGGAACTTCTGTGAGGCAGACATATTCACAGCTAACACAGTGTTCAGATATCTAAACTTTCAATCTTCAGAGAACTGCTGTAAGAGGCAGGCGTAAGGACTGCTATCCCCATTAAACTAAGATGTTAACTAACTTGTCAAAAGGCAGACAGCCCTTAAGAGGAGAGCTGGGACTTATACCCAGACGGTCGGTTCTGAAGCCCACGCTTGGTTTGTTTACCATGATGTTCTTCTAACCATCCTGAGTGAAAAAGAGAAGAAACCAACCATAATCAGGGAGGAGACCAGGCCAGGGGCAAGCAATAAGTCAGAGGATGGCTGTTTGATATTCCAGCTACTTAACCAGGGTGGAGTGGACATTCTTCACACTCCAGCTCCCTCGGGAATGACCTACGTGCCCCCAAGACCTGTCACATAATGGCTAATGGCACCAAACCTAAGCTCCATAAGCAAATGTAGACTGTTGGAAAGCGGGTGTGACCAGGCTATTCTTTTATGACTTTTTTGATGTGGATCATTTTTTAAAGTCTTTATTGAATTTGTTATAATATTACTTCTGCTTTATGCTTTGGTTTTTTGGGCTATGAGGCAAGTGGAATCTTAGCTCCCCAACCAGGGGTTAAATCTACACCCCCTGTATTGGAAGGCGAAGTCTTAACCACTGGACCACCAGGGAGGTCTCCCAGGCTGTTCTTATCACAGAAAATTCACTGGGTAGAACTGTGACAACAATGTATGTTGTAACACAGTCACTACATACAAACCACTTTGGGCTAAGGTCAACAGTGGGGAAGAGGGCGGGGAGGTCATGACTTCTGTCTTGTCTCAGAAAGGGAGAACTTGCTCAAACGTGAGCTTAGGCCAATTTCTTCTTTGCTTCAGTTTCCCCAACTGTAAAACGGGAATAACAGCACTGAGCCCTCAGGGGGATGGCTAAGGATTAAATGAGACAGGGTCTGACCCAGGCCCTGGTACATAGTAAGTGTTCACCATATGGAAGCTGCTAACACTGTAAGCTCTAAGACAACGCTCTAACACACAGATGACTCTGTACTATTCACTACATGGCAGCTTTCTTTTCTGTCTCCCATCCCTGCTCCTCAAAAAAAAAAAATTAGTAATACCAACATGTGACAGAGGCAGAAAATGACCTCTGATTTGTATAATGAAGCAAAGTAAATACAGGTGTTCCTACTGTTAGAGGTAATGAGTATCTCCAGGAAGCGGGGCGGGGTAGGCTGGTGAAGGAGATACGTGTGCAGACACTTTGATGAAAGGCTTATTTGGGTTTGAGTTGTGTCTGCAGCCCTTCAGTGTGATATTTTACAAACCATTTCTTTGGGCCTCAGTCATGTCATCTGGAAAGTGGCAATGAACAGCCCCTGCTCCATAGGATGGACATGAGGATTAAATAAGTAGATAGTGTTAAGATGCTGAGAACAGTGATTGGCTCATGAATGCTGTGGGCGGCAGCTGCTGCTGCTATAACCACAGTACCCTCAGCCACATCAGCGTCACATGGGAGCACCCGGGGCGGCCGCTGAGCTCAGCACTCTGAAGACGGCATGGGTTGGCAGCCCCGGCCACTGGCAGTGCGAGGGGTGAAACTTAAGAGGCGGTATGTAATCTCTCCCCCACAAAAGCATCTCTGTCACCCAGGATGAACTGTAACTCAGGAAGGGGTTCTGAGGGCAGGGCTGTAACGTAGGAAGGAGCAGTCATATCACCCTGGACCTGTAACACTGATGGCGAAAGAGCCGAAGCCTGGTCCGGGTCCATGGCACCAGCCTGGTCATCCTGAAGCCTAAGAAAAACTTAGGGCTGAAGCAACCTACGTGACCCAGATCCAAGCCCCTCTGGATCACTCACCTAGTTGGCAGAGGACAGCCAGGAAGAACAGGAGCCCGAGCAGGATGTACCCTCCTTTGCTTGCCATTGCGACCAGCTACAGAGTCTGGGAGGAAGGAACACAAAGCATTGTCACAAACCAACAGGCGATTGCCGGGTGCCTCAGAAACCAAGAGCTGGAAGCTCTGGGGGCTTCAGGAAACACTGCGGTCCCTCCGCAGTGGGAGACCTCAGTTTGCTGAAGAAACGCTGTCAGGCCTGGTGGGAGGGGTGGCTGCAGGGAAGCAGAGCATACCATGCCCGCCCCGGCCCTCACCCACAGCAGCAGCGCACCTTTGTAGAAACTCCGTCCTTCTGAGCCTCAGGGGTCACGGTGGAGCAGTGGGACAGCACGATCTGCTGCATCGGGGGGACTCACTCCAACGATAAAATGAATGGAGTACACGAGGCAGTGCCTGCAATTCGAGCTCTGCAGGCCCCACCTCCAGCTGCTGGCTGAGCTGAGCCCAGCAAGCATCCCTTTTCCAGGCCAGCCTCTAAGTGCATCACACCAAAGGGGGGACCCTGGGGGACGCCGGCAGGCGTTCAGTGGCAAAACACGGGGCAAAGGCTTAGGGCACTGAAGCTCTGGCTCCCCACCTTGGTGTGATGGGGACACCTCCTTCTTCACTCTGAAAAGTAAGGGCGGGTTCCAGGTTAACTCTGCTGTCTAGTCCCTATTCCATGAATGCTCAGAGGTGTGGCAGTGACCATCAGAGGAGAAGAGAGGAGGGCTGAAATGCCTCAAATCCTCCTTTCACTTGAGAAGGAGGCCAAGCAACAGGGCGGTTTTTAACTTAGCCCAAGTCCAAACCATGAGCAGCAGATCTAAGGTTCTTCCGACCCCACTCCGACTTCCCTGAGGCTCACACATTCTACTCTCCTGAGCCCCACAGGCCAGGACCTCTGCCTGGCAAACAGATAGGGTTCTTGGTGGGTGGGCCCCGCCCTGCCCCACCCCACCCCACCCAGCCCTCCTTTGAGTTGGAGGTGGGTGGTGGAGAGGATGGGACCACAAGTGAAAATCACAGGGGGGGGTGTTGCCTAAAGATGATATTGAGAAAGCCCATGACCAAGAGACAGGAAGGTCACATTCTGATGAGTGGGGAAGCAGGAAGAAAATCTAACTGGGCCTGGCCTTTCTTTAAGGCTGAATCACCCCCATTTCCCTCTGGGGTCTTCAAAACCTGCCATAGCCTATATGCCCACTCCCACCAGGCTGACCCTCCCTGGGGGGTAGCTGCCCAACACCCCAGTGCAGTGAGGATCTGAGGCTGCCCAAGGCTAGTGGTCAAAAGCACAGACTCAGACATACTAAAGTCTGGCTGTCCCCCAGCTACCGAGCCTCATTTTTCTCACCTATATGTGGGTGTTTCCCCACATGGAGAAATGGAAGATAAAACAAGGTACTGTGCTTGACACAGTCACAGGAAAGTGGTGGCTATTGCCACTTCCTACCTCACTCTGGACACACACACACCTTGCCTCTGCCACCACCACTACTGTTAACAGGAGAGAAAGGGGCAGGGCACAACTTTTGAAAGAATGACATAGCCCAAGGACACAACATAAACCGATTAGAATCAAATGGGACCAAGATGGCAGACAAGACTAGACCTTGATCCTCAATCAGCAAGTGAAATAACACACCCAGAGGTGCCAGGACAGTGCCAGTTCAGTTCGGTCACTCAGTCGTGTCCAACTCTTTGCGACCCCATGGACTGCAGCACACCAGGCTTCCCTGTCCATCACCAACTCCCAGAGCTTACTCAAGCTCATGTCCATCAAGTTGGTGATGCCATCCAACCATCTCATCCTCTGTCATCTCCTCTTCCCGCCTTCAATCTGTCCCAGCATCAGGGTCTTTTCAAATGAGTCAGTTCTTCGAATCAGGTGGCGAAAGTATTGAATTTTCAGCTTCAGCATCAGCCCTTCCAATGAACACCCAGGACTGATCTCCTTTAGGGTGGACTGGTTGGATCTCCTTGCAGTCCAAGGGACTCTCAAGAGTCTTCTCCAACACCACAGTTTAAAAGCATCAATGCTTCAGCACTCAGCTTTCTTTATAGTCCAACTCTTATATCCATACATGACCACTGGAAAAACCATAGCCTTACTAGGCAAAGTAATGTCTCTGCTTTTTAATATGCTGTCTAGGTTGGTCCTAACTCTTCTTCCAAGGAGTAAACATCTTTTAGTTTCATGGCTGCAGTCACCATCTGCAGTGATTTTGAAGCCCCCAAAAATATGTCTGCCACTGTTTCCCCATTTATTTGTCATGAAGTAATGGGACTGGATGTCATGATCTTTGTTTTCTGAATGTTGAGCTTTAAGCCAACTTCTTCACTCTCCTCTTTCATCTTTAGTTCTTCTTCATTTTCTGCCACAAGAGTGGTGTCATCTGCATATCTGTGGTTATTGGTATTTCTCCCAGCAATCTTGATTCCAGCTTGTGCTTCCTCCAGCCCAGCATTTTTCATGATGTACTCTGCATATAAGTTAAATAAGCAGGGTGACAATATACAGCCTTGACGTACTCCTTTTCCTATTTGGAACCAGTCTGTTGTTACACATCCAGTTCTAACTGTTGCTTCCTGACCCGCATACGGGTTTCTCAAGAAGCAGGTCAGGTGATCTGGTATTCCCATCTCTTTCAGAATTTTCCACAGTTTACTGTGATCCACCCAGTCAAAGGCTTTGGCATAGTCAATGAAACAGAAATAGGTAGACAGAAGGTAGCATCAGGTCAGAAAGCTGGACAAACACTCTGGACTTGGATGAGCAGAGGAGATCACAGGCCCCAAGCCTAAGGCAGCCCCCAGCCATACGGGTTGGATGGGGAGTGGGAAGATTGAGCTTTAAGTCCACAGGACTGGCTGGTAGTCACAGTGGATGCTTCCATGACTTGGTTGCAAGAGGGCAAAAATGGCCAAGAAAGGAAGTGGCCAGTGTGCAGATGCCAAGGTCATAGTACTTGAATCAGAAGTCCAGTTCTTCATTGTTGTTTAGTAGCTAAGTTGTGTCTGTCTTTTTTGCGACCCTATGGACTCTAGCTGGCCAGGCATCTCTGGCCATGGGATTTCCCAGGCAAGAATACTGGAGTGGGTTGCCATTTCCTTCTGGGGACTGAACCTGCATCTCCTGTAGTGCAGGTGGATTCTTTACCACTGAGCCACCAGAAGAGACAAAATAGCTGATTGTTTTAAAGCTATGTTATAAATGCCCCTAAAATGCTGACAGTAGTTAACACTAAGCAGGATTATTTATGATTTCTTATTTCTCTTCCTGACCCTTTACTCTTTGCCATACTTCCCAAAATATTCTATAAAGAGACAATCACTGGTTTTATAATCAGAAATAGGAAAATCCACACATTGCAAAAATTTCCCTTTCAGCAGTCATCAATCACTGAACTTCTGGCAAATCTGTTTCAGCACTAAGAAAGAGAACTGAACCTCAAGGCTTGAAACTCTTCCCCCTAGTATAAAACAGCCTCTATTTTATTTTTTTTTTTTTGTATTTTTTTTTCCATTTATTTTTATTAGTTGGAGGCTAATTACTTTACATCATTTCAGTGGGTTTTGTCATACATTGAAATGAATTAGCCATGGATTTACATGTATTCCCCATCCCGGTCCCCCCTCCCACCTCCCTCTCCACCCGATCCCTCTGGGTCTTCCCAGTGCACCAGGCCCGAGCACTTGTCTCATGCACCCAACCTGGGCTGGTGATCAAAACAGCCTCTATTTTAAATTTAAAAATGATGCCCATAAGTGTAGATCATATATATGGTAGGTGAACCAACAGAGCTACCATGCCTTTTCCAACCCACCCAACCAACCACTTAAGATGCAAGAAGCATGCAGAAGACCTCATCATGCTTTTTTCAACATTTCAGGACTCATTTAAGCAATGGATTTAATGACTAGAAACAGCCTAAAGTCATTCTGAAAAGGGTCCACAGGATATGATGGGTGAGCTTACTGGAAGACACCATTTTGGAGTGGTAGAACATGCTTGGTGCCGATCTTAGGAAATGTGGAGATTTTTCTGGGTGGCTCTGAAGTTGACTCTAAAAGGGAATTGCTTCAGGGACAAGTCAAATAGGCTTTTCACTAGAAGAATAAGTAACAGTCAAGGATATATAAGCATTGTTTAAAACAGTAAGAATTTGGTAACACACATGTCCAACAAGATGATGAGTAAATTATGGTCCAATTCCATGGTGGGGAACTATACAGCCATGAAAAGTAACAGACATGAAAGGCTATTCACAATGTATTAAGACAAAAAGCCAGTTTAGCTATAATTTTATTACTTTTTTTTTAAAATACACACACATACATAAACATACCTTTAAAAAAAAAGCTTGGAACATCAACATTTCCAAACATTTTGGGACATGTGATGAACAGCATGGTAGAATTATGAGCAGCTTATTTATACTTAAATATGTTTTCTTAATAATGAATATTTTTCAGAAAGAGCTCTCAACAGATAGAATATTTTAATGTATTTCTGTGTCATTTAACTTGCAGCTTAAATTTTTATTTTTCTAACACTCTACCTGATTAAGTATTAAAAATACATAACAGCTTTTGAAATTTGCTACATTGAGGTTAAAAACCATTTCTTGTATATACAGTCTCCTAGGTCTAAAAAGTTATTTTAGTCACACACTATATTTGGGTCAAAAAAAAGCGGGGGGCATTCAGGATTTTCTAGTGGTCCTGAGAGAGAGACCCATATTCTTTTTTTTTTCCCCACTTATTTTTATTAGTTGGAGGCTAATTACTTTACAATATTGTAGTGGTTTTTGCCATATATTGACATGAATCAGCCATGGACTTACATGTGTTCCCCATCGTGAACCCCCCTCCCACCTCTCTCCCCCATCCCATCCCTCTGAGTCATCCCAGTGCACCAGCCCTGAGCACTCGAGAGACCCATATTCTAATCCCACTTTGCCGTCAATTTATATAACCTTAAAGCAGTCAACTCCTTTACTTCAGTTTCTAATTTGTGAAGTGATAATAATGCTTTTATAGAATAATGAAATCTAAGACTTGAGGGTTTTAAAGCTCAATATGGGCTAAAATGTTACATGGCACTTAAAGGAACAAACAAATAAATGCACACACAGTCCTGGGGTTACTCTGTCCTGGGCTCAGACCTGACCTGGAAATAATATTTTTACGATTAGGTGCCAGATTTCTGAATTTCTTCCAGTTTATCAGGACATCAAAATAAACAGCTGTAAAAGCCAAGAGAAATGGGTGGGAGAAATCAGGGCTGTTCTGTTTGGAAAAGTATGGTCAGAGACAGTAACTATCTTCAAACATGGTTAAGGGCCTCCAAGGAGGCGGGGAGGAGGGGTACTTTCCAAAGACAGCATTAGGATCAATTAGGGAGGCATTCTGGGCTTCCTAAGAGAAACTGCTTGCTATCACCCCACTTCCTCCTCCCTCCCTGCCATGTGCTAGGTACTCAACAAAGTGTCAGCACAGATGGAAATCAATTAAATATGAAAAACTCCCCGTCACTTAGAAATGTTCACATGAAATGCACACTGATCAGAGACGCTGCAGAAAAGACGCCAGCAGAAAGCAGACTAGAGATTTTCATTCTACAATAAAGATCAATCCAATGATTTATTCATTTCCATCCACCTGAGATGTCAGGGGAAGCTAACAGTAGCAAGGCGATTTACATATACAGGCATCCCTAACTGAGTTCCTGAAGATATTTTGGGTAGCCAGTTTATGGGCAGTGCAAGCCTATATTCCATTATTTTACAGAGGAAAACAAAGACATGCTGCCGTCCATCCGAAAACCCCAGCAAGCACCCTCAAATATTTATCTACCTATTTAAAACAGTCCAAATAAATCAAAACATAAAACATTTAACATGCCAATGACCCAACAAACTTAACGAATTCATTGTGGGTATATTTACTCTACAAAGTAAGTTCGGTCCTGACACTTACGCCCCAGTCATCTCCACAGTGACCATTTATGAGCCCATGTAAGCTGAGGAGCTAGACACTGGGGTACAGTGGCTGCTAAACCAGGTAAAGCCCCACTCTCAAGAACCTTACAGTCTAGTGGAGATGGATACCAACTAATGCTGGAGACTAGGTAGAAAATAAAATAGAGTACCAGTCCTGGTTCTCTAGCTTCAGTGGGCATCAGACTCATCTGGAGGGCTGTTAAAACACAGACTGCTGGGCCCTGCCCCTAGAAGTTCTGATTCTGTAGGTCTGGGGGGGGGGGGGTACCCAGGACTTAGCATCTCTAATCAGAGACTACACAGACAACTGAAGGTTCAAAGAGTGAGAAGGACTTTGCCTACTCAGGGGATTTTGAGGACAGAGCACAGAAGTCACAGCTGAGGCATATAGGTGACCTCCAGAAGTGAAGAATGGTCCTCAGATGACACTCGGCCAGGAAATGGCACCTCAGTCCTCCAATCACAAGGACTGGGCCATGCCAATAGCCTGAATGATCAAGGGGACAGGTTCTCTCACATAGGTCCTCAGAAAGGAACCTAGCCCTGCTGACACCTTGATTTGAACCCAGTGAGGCCCAGGTCAGACTTCTGATGGATGGAACCGTAAGACTAATAAATTTGTGTTGTGTTAAGCCACTAGCTTTGTGGCAATTTGTTTCCACAGTAATAGAAAATGAATACACCAACCTCACAACTGGTATGTGGAAGAACAGTGTTTAAACCTAGGCCTGACTTCTTAACCATAGCTAAACTCTCTGGCGGGGAAACTTCTCGTGAATTCAGCTTCTGAAATAAACTGCTTGAACCGAGGCCACGGAGAAGAGACTGTACACAGGCAACGCTGCACAAGATCCACAGATGCCCAGGGGTACACTTACTGTTCCTAGGAGCCGAGCCTTAGAGGCTGATGATCTTTAAGGCTAAAGGTACTTTCAAAAATTAAACCCAATGTTTCTATTTTACGGAAATTAATGGAGGCCCGGGGAAATGAAAGTCCCTGTCCCAAGGCAACAGGTTAGTTGCAAAGCCACCTAGGTGGATCTTGCTTCTATTTACCAGGGGCCAGTGGTGACGCAGTGGTAAAGAACCCACTTGCCAATGTGGGCAACGCAAGAGATGTGGGTTCAATCCAAGGAGTGGGAAGATCCCCTGAAGCAGAAACTGGCAACCCGCTCCAGGGTTCTTGCCTGGAAAATTCCATGGACAGAGAAGCCTGGTGGGTTGCAGTCTATGAGGAAGTCGAGAGTCGACACAACTCAACACAGCACAGTAGCTCACAAGTAGCTCAAAGTAACACTATCTGGAGGCTAGTAGTGTTGGGGACTTGGGGCTTTGCCTCTGTATCACCTTGGACAAATACAGCCAGGCAAGCTGACTCACCGACACAAAGATCACTCAGCTCAGAAAAGTAATTACATCAGCAAGTAGAGACAAACAGAAAGCCATCATCATAATGAACAGCCCCTCCCAGCTACTCTTGAGCTCCCGCTGCCAGACAATCATCTCAGAACTCTTTAAACCCAGAAATTTGCCGCTTCCTCAAAAGGAAGGGCCATTCTGGCAATATGTTCCAGGAAATGTGGTCTCTAGTTCTTTAAAGAGGGCCCTCATCAGAGGGCCGCCTCACAGCCCTGCTCTTTGAGGTTGTACATGTAGGGCCAACTGTGATGATATTTCACAAAAATATGGGGTGTAGGTAATACCACATCCTCTGTTTGGGAAAGACTCAAGCACCTCTGGGCTAGGTTTTGTTTACGGCAGTCTGGAGTTGGCCCGGAATTTTTAATGCATTTCTTTTCAAGAGCTTGTACCCGCAGCTCTCAAAGCTGAATTCCACTAGACACCTGCTTGCCTCACTCTAATATCCATTTTTATTTGGAATTTTATCTTACAAGCTACTCAGCATAATGGGGTATTTTCCTTACAGTTCCATTTGAAAATACAGAAGCCACAGTTTCATACATTTGGTCCACAGTCAGGCAATTCTTTTGATCAACATTCTGAATTGTGTGTGCCTTTGGAGAACTGGGAATAAGCTACCCTCAGCAAGGAACATGGGGATCTGACCACTTATCAGGTGCCACAAATCATCTCATTTAGTTCTTACAACACCCTGGTGGCGCTACTGGTAAAGAGTCCACCTGCCAATACAGGAGACCTAAGAGACTCAGGGTCGATCCTTGGGTCAGAAGATCCCCTGGAGTAGGAAATGGCAACCCACTCCTGTATTCTTGCCTGGAGAATCCCATGGACAGAGGAGCATGGCGGGCTACAGTCCACAGGGTTGCAAAGAGTCAGACACGACTGAAGAGACTTACCACACACTCATTTTACACGTAAGAAAATGAGGTTAAATAGCATGCTCACCATTACCCAGCCAGCAAAGAGTAGAGTCGAGATTCAAACCCTGGTCTGTGGCCATGTCCAGGCCCTTGATCACTATGACATGACACATGAACTTCATAATTTCTCTGCAAGCAAACCAAGTGTCAAATTCTAGGTGGATTCTAGGTGGATCCCAAAGCCACCACCGCCCACAGATGAAACTAGATAAGGTAGGGCAAAGAGGTAGGGAAGAGCTGTTTCTCTGATCTGTGATTCTCACAATTAAACATAAAGTAATCTTTGGATTATCTCACCTGTATTTGAGGTCTCCTGCTTTTTGAGAAATGTCTGTCAACCACAAGCTACTATGATATGGTGTGGGCTACATCTTTAGCTTTGTATAATTTATGGGCTGATCTGTTTAGAATGAAACAGAGTTAATGCAGGCTTCCCTGGTGGTCCATAAAGAAGTTCCCTTTCAGTCCATAAAGAATCCCCCTACAATGTGTGTGACCTGGATTCGATCCCTGGGTTGGGAAGATGCCCTGGAGGAGGGCATAGCAACCCACTCCAGTATTCTTGCTTGGAGAATCCCCATGGACAGAGGAGCCTTGGAGGGCTGCAGTCCATGCGGTCGCAAAGAGTTGGACACGACTGAGCAACTAAACACAGCACAGTTATTGCAGTTGAGAATGGTAGGCAGGTCTCCGCTGGGTCCGCCTGATGTCTTTTAAAAGTTGGCCAAGAAGAGGATTTTTAAAAGAATCAGCTGGGCACAGCAAGAGGCACTTTCAAAGTGGACATAAGGCATTACAGCAAGGAAAAAAAGGAAAGGACTGGTGCAAAGCAAAACCGGAGGAACCTCCTACGCCACAGTCTTCACAAGGTGGCAACAGGCCACACTGCAATTATGCCAGGGTGAGTCACTAACTCCATCTCTTTTTCGTGTGGGACGCAGGCTAAAGGGGAGAACTCACATGCGTCAGAGGAGAAATAGAACGTTACTTGGTACATTTCCAGGATCCATGGAGAAAATCACTACTTAACGTCTCCTTAAAAGTAAACAGTCAGACTCCAAGAAGGGTGCGGCCCCAGGCCGGCCCAAGAAAACCAACATCGTACTTGAAATGTCTAAGTTACGACCCCACCTTGCTTTTTAAAATTCAAAATTTAGACCTCCAGGGGAAGAGAAGATGTCCAGACACTCAGAGATGGGGTTATAACCTCCTTTCAAGGTGCGATCGGTTGTCCCTAAATTGCAAGAGCTTCTCTTCAGATTCGAGGTTCGGAAGGTATTCCCGGGAAGGGGGGGAGGCGGCGGAATAGAGGGTGGGTGGGTGGCGGGGGCGCGCGGAACTGGGAATGCGTCCGCTCCCCTCTTCTCGTTTTATACAAAAGAAGCCGGGAAGTTTAAAGACGAGCCGGGAGCCCCCGGCGCCGGGATGCTGCGGGAACGCGGGCGGAGGGAAGGGAGCGGGAGCTCGCCGTCCCCCGGCGCGGGGCGAGCGCGCCAGCTCGGACCCTCCAAACCCCTCAGTCCCACAGCCCAGCTGCTAGAGCAGCGGCTCAAGTGCCCCAGTGCCGGGCTGGGAACGCGGCTCCGCGAGAACCCCGACCCTCCAATCTTACCTAAAGGGCCCACCTCTCCGCTTCAGCGCCGCTGAACCTACGTCGACCGCCCAGCCCCTCTTTATCGCCTGGGCTGGGAGGGGGGCGAGCTCCGCCCCCGCCCGCCGGCCCCGCCCCTCCCCGCCGGCCCCGCCCCCTCCCCGCCGAGCCCCGCCCGCCGCCGCCCTGCGCGCCGCAGTGGCCGGCCAAGGTCACACGGCTGCGCGCAAGTGCGCGGTCCAGGCCACGGTGCAGAAGACGACTCGTGACCAGGCTTAGGTGAAGCTGTTTATGTTAAAAAGCTGAAAACGGAGAGTTTATGATGCCCTTCCTCCTTTCGATGCTATTAAAAAACAACAACAACAACAAAACTCCAGGACTTAGGAATTTTCCTTTGTTTACAAAAATATATAAAAATGTTTTTCAAAGCGTTTGCGTGCCCATGCCAAACTCCCATTGGCCAGGCTGCTCTCGGCTCTCGGGCTCTCGTAGCCCACAAAGACCCTTCAGCCATAGCCACATCTGGTGCCTTGTGTCTTGTTTGGAAGCAAGATGAAAGTTTTCTGGATTTTTTTGCGGAGGTGGCAGGGTGGGGTGCGCCGGGCGTGGTCCACAGCTTGTGGAATCTTAGTTACGGGACAAGAGATGGAACTGGACCCCTGGCAGTGAGAGCATGGCGTCCTAACCACTGGCTCGCAGGGAAATTCCCTTTTGTAATCTTAAAAGCGTATATTAGCCAGTCTGAAACCAGTATCACCATTTAGAACGTTATTTTTATGTGAAGATAATAATCTGAAGTTTCCATTTATCACTTCACATTTATCAGCATTCGCTCCAGAACCGGCTTAATGAGAGCCCTGTAAAGGAGAGCTGGGAAAGCAGGCCAGAAGTACATCCTTTTTCCAAGAGCTTGACCTCTGCTGAGATAAAGTTCAAGGAGGGGAAATTGTATGATAACCCATCATGACATGTGCCTCCTACCATGATCCTCTGATGGCTTTGGGGCGTCATGGAATGAATTTCATGTGGTGGTGCCTTAATCTTGGTTTTTCTCTATACAAACGAGTCTCAGCAGGGTCTGCTTTGACGTGGTGGTGGTGGTGGTATAGTCCCTAAGTCGCTCAGTCGTGTCTGACTCTTGGACCCCACGGACTGCGCCCCCACTAGGTTCCTCTGTCCACGGAATTTTCCAGGCAAGAACACTGGAGTGGGTTGCCATTTCCTTCTCCCGAGGATCTTCCTGACCCAGGGATCAAACCTGGGTTTTCTGCACTCCGGTCAGATTCTTTACCGACTGAGCTACCACAGAAGCCCTGATATTACAGTGTGCTTAAATCAGCTATGTGTATTTCCTATGATAGTTTGTTTACAGAGCTCTTTCACATGCGTTTTCTGTGCATCCTATAAGCTCTTTTCCATTACCTGCTCATAATGTGGTGTTGCCAGTGTTGGCCTGAACCATGGCTATATGTTTTCTCTGGGAGATTATAGTGCACCCTCTTTAACTTGAGAATACAGTTGGCCCTCCATACCCATAGGTTTGGCATCAGTGGATTCAGCTACCAAAACTGCAGTTGTCAAGGGATGACTGTATTATAAATACATCATTTTTTGGTAAGGGAGAGTAGGAAATGGCAACCCACTTCAGTACTCTTTCCTTGAAAATCCCATGGACGGAGGAGCCTGGTAGGCTAAGGACGGGGTCAAAAAGAGTTGGACAAAACTGAGTGACTTCACTTTCACTTTTTATAAGGGACTTGAGCATCCACTGATTTTAGTATCTGTGGAGGTTCTGGAACCAATCTCTTGCAGATACCAAGGGTTGACTATATATATGTTTACAAGTCAACTTGCAAATCTTTTTTCTCTACCACACCTTGGATCTTCATATTCATATCAAATTACTGGACATCTCCATCTATATGTCCCACAGACATCTGAACTCAAAATGTGTTCAAATCTTAACTCCTCTCCAATGTTCCCACTGCTCTTCCTGCAATTTTTTTTTTCATGAATGAAGTCCCATACCTGGAATCAACTTCAGTTTCTTCTACTCCCACACATGCAATCACTAACTCCTGCCTATTTTATCATTTAGAAACTTCAATTTCATCCTCTCTCCACTCCACTCCCACTGCTACTGCCCTAATTCAAGCCTGTAGAATATCTTGTTTAGTTGTTCAGTTGTGTCTGACACTCTGTGACCCCATGGACTACAGCATGTCAGGCTTTCCTGTCCTTAACCATTTCCTGGAGTTTGCTCGAACTCATGTCCATTGAGTCGGTGATGACATCCAACCATCTCATCCTCTGTCATCTCCTTCTCCTCCTGCCTTCCATCTTTCCCAGCATCAGAGTCTTTTCCAATGAGTCTGCTGTTTGCATCAGGTGGTCAAAGTAGTATCAGTCCTTCCAATGAATACTCGGCGTTGACTTCCTTTAAGATTGATTGGTTTGATCTCCTTGCTGTCCAAGGGACTCTCAAGAGTCTTCTCCAGCACCACAGTTCAAAGTATCAATTCTTTAGCGTTCAGCCTTTATTGTCCAGTTCTCACATCCGCACACTGGGAAAATCATAGCTTTGACTAGACGGGCCTTTGTCAACAAAGTAATTTCTCTGCTTTTTAATATGCTGTCTAAGGTTTGTCATTGCTTTTCTTTCAAGAATCAAACATCTTTTAATTTCATAGCTGCAGTTACTGTCCAAAGTGATTTTGGAGCCCAAGAAAATAGTCTGTCACTGTTTCCATTGTTTCCCCTTCTGTTTGCCACGAAATGATGGGACCAGATGCCATGATCTTAGTTTTTTGAATGCCGAGTTTTAAGTCAGCTTTTTCACTCTCTTCTTTGACCTTCATCAAGAGGCTCTTTAATTCCTCTTCACTTTCTGCCATAAGGGTGGTGTCATCTGCAAATGTGAGGTTTTTGATATTTCTCCTGGCAGTCCTGATTCCAGCTTGTGCTTCCTCCAGCTCGGCGTTTGGTCTGATGTCCTTGGCTATCAGTTAAATAAACAGGATGTTAAATAAACAGCCTTGTCATGCTCCTTTCCCAATTTGGAACCAGTTTGTTGTTCCATGTCGGTTCTGTTGCTTCTTGACCTGCATATAGATTTCACAGGAGGCAGGTAAGGTGGTCTGGTACTCCCATCTCTGGAAGAATTTTCCACAGTTTGTTGTGATCCACACAGTCAAAGGCTTTAGCATAGTCAATGAAGCAGATGTTTTTCTGGAATTCTCTTGCTTTTTCTACGATCCAAAGGATGCTGGCAACTTGATCTCTGGTTCCTCTGCCTTTTCTAAATCCAGCTTGTACATCTGGATTTAGAATGTCTTACTTGGGCCATTACAATTTCTTCATACTAGGATTCCGTGCTGCCCATGTTAATACCTGCATCTCTTGCCCCATCTCTTATTTTCCTGTTAAGAGACCTGGCTGGTTTACCTCTCCAGGCTTGTTTGACTTTTTACTTTCCATTTAATTTTCCCCTTTTCTCATCATCCTTCCTGGAATACAATATGACTGCAGTTGCTACACTGAAGCCATGAGTGATCTTAAAGTCTGCTACAAATGGCAGAACAGGAAGATGGAAGTAATCCAGAATGTTGAAAAGACTGGGCCACCTTATCAGCCATGAGCTTAGTTACCTGACTTTTCACAAGAGGAAAAAAAACTCTGAGCTATGTGGTTACTGTTTACCTATCTGCCTCATTCTGATACATCAAGCTTCAGACAAATGAGTAAAAGACAAGTGGTGTTCTGAAGGGACCTCAGAGCCAGAAATGGGGTTCACAACACCAAAAGTACAGTCAGACCAACTGTTAGATCCCTTTTCTGTGTGAATACACATTCTTGCCAACGAAATAAAAGTTGAGGTTATCAACTAATCAATCACACCTTAGGAAGAACTCAATCAACATAAAGTGAAAGATGCAGAATGGTTGAGGGATCCTGGAACCAGCTTTAACTTCCAACATTTAATACTTTTAGTTACTACTTTATTGGGAGTTTATTTTTCAAAAAACCAATTTTTTTTTTAAAGGATAGGCATAAAAGAAGGATTTGGCACCCTGATAATGCTCTATTTAAAAAAAAAAAGGTCAGGAAAGGCTATTCACTCCACTTCAGAACATTCTGACAGGTTTCATGTCAGCCAATGTGAAAGGCTACGTTTGCCTCTAAGTTCCGGGATGGCAACTCCCTAATCCTGTGTGACTTCCCTCTTTCTACAGCTTTCCCTACAAAGGAACTGTTTCTGGGGGAAAGGGAAGGTAGAATACATGACAGGGTTTAGTTACAGCCAGAAAATGACTTTGAATGGGCCTCTGGCAACAGGCCAGAGTTTTGATTTGATCTTCCTTTTAAGAGCAAAGGCTTATTAATATATGTATTTATGGGAAATAGGCAATTACACAAAATACAGGATTGGAACCAAAATTTGTTTTCAAAATGTGAGGTTTTGACATTTGGAGGATTTCATTTCCAAACTCTCAATTATATATTATTACAAAAAAAGAATCTTTTATATGTTTCAGGAAAACATACTTGATCTTAAGATAAAATTCATGTCACTTATCACAAAGTTAGACAGTCAAGTAAAACAGAAGCAGTATTTACAAATTTAGACTACATGAAACACTGTGAATAACCTTGTTAATAAACACAATACATACTTTTACACACTACATTTCAAAAATGAAGCATCTGTGAACAGTGTGGTAAAGGTCATAGTGTTGAAAACCTTAAATTAAATTCAAAGTTGGTAGAGTTGAAGACTAGATTTAAGGTCAAGGCCATACTGATAGCTTTAAATTCAAGGTTGTGATGAAAACTCTAAATTCAAGGATAGATTGTCTAAGGACAAACAACTGGCAGTCAAGCTATTTAGTCAGTTAGTTCCCTGTAGGTACAAAATATATAGGAATCACTAAATGGATTAGCCTAATTACAAATTCTGTTCATTTCTATATAACTTATAAGTCTTTTCACAGAACCACTCAGTCACATAGTTTCTCTCTATCCTTGTGTAGGTATTTCTGATTCATTTTAAATCCTCTTTCAAACCAATTCCCTTCCATTTCCATATTTTTATAAGTATAAAATTTTTTTAAATAAAGAAATGTCTGTTCCTTAGCTAGATAAGTATTCTCCCATTAACTCCTAGAAGAGAAAAAAAGATTCCCATTTCCTCCTCTACCTCAAAAACACACAGCAAACCCAAACATTCCAATTCCTAAAGTAGCGCCGCACAGAACCCAGGGCCTGGCACAGTATTTCCTGCTAGTCTTCCTGCTATTAATATAAGCTGAGAACAGTTTAGTTACTGACATTATTGAAACATCTATTTAAGAGACTGGATTCATCCTAGGGCTTCCGTCAGCAGAGGCTTGCTAAAAAAGCCGAGAGCAGCGGCGTCTTCGAATGGGAACATCAAAGACTCTCCTCTGTCTCTCTTCCTCATCGTCATCAGACTCATCCATGTCTGCCGAATCGTCATCGTCTTCCTCCTCCTCCTCCTCTCCTTCCTCTTCCATCTCTTCATATTCATCAGGACCCATTTCCTTGAAAGAGAAGACAATCTTTTGATAAGAACTTCCATCAGGTTTTTTTTTTTTAAATTTAATACAAATTCTCATTTACCTAGAATCTAAACAACTGGGCATGCCAAGTATGAATTTTTATAGACTTCTCATTGAATTTTATACTTTTTTATAGAATCTTAAGACTTTTATACATGTTCATGATGCACATGCTAACGTTAAGATTCTAGAGTATACATGCTATAACAAGTTTTAAAATGCTCAATGTATTCACAGTAAATATATTTCATCAATAGTTATTTTTTACATGGTGGTTGATAATTCACAGAAGGTAGCAAACAGACAACTTCTAACAACCCAAGATGAATTTATTAACGTACTGTGGAACAATTCTTTATTAACCTGACTGCTTACAGAAACGAGGATATAAAAATATAACTAAGTTACGACCTCTGCTGGTAACTTTTATGTACTGCCAACAAGAGGTCTAGTAAGAAAACCAACCACCTTCAGTAGCCTCCACTTTTAAATTAACTTGTTGAAGGCTATCAGAATAAGGCAGCAGTGATATTGAACATCCAGCATCTGAACGTCTCTTGGACACTTCCATTCCTTTTAAGCAATGTCTCTAGTCGAGTCGACTTACTCTGCTGTTGGTTTTCTGTCTCATACATTTTTGAAGACTCAAGAGAGGAGCTACTATAATTGGACAGAATTCTGAACGGCAAGGAGAACCTAGCTGTTACTGCGGGAAGTACTGGGAAGCTTGGGCTGTGATGGCAGCTAAAGTCCTTCCCCCGTGGCCTTAAGGCATGGCAACATGCAGCACCCCACGGCCCCGCGACACCGTCTCTGACCGCTGTCCCCTGCCCACTGGCCTCCAGCCACACTGGCCTCCGCGCGCTCCTTCAGACACACCAAGCGCATGAGCGCTTCAGCACCTCTGTACTTGCTGCTCTGCTTGGAGCACCCTTCGGCTACACATCCGCCCGTTTCCCTCTACTTCTTTCAAGCATGAACTCAAATGTCACCAAGGCTGTCCCTCACACATCTGTGTATCAGAACAACCCAACAGTACACTTCTTAGCACCCTTACTCTGATTTTTCTCCAGTGCACTTATGACTACTTGACATAAGTGAAGAGTGGATATTTACTACACTTTGTTTCTTCCAACTACAATGTAAATTCCAAGCCAGAGATTTCTTTTTAATCTCCTCAACTTTCTTCTCTTTTATTTTTTATTTTTATTGAAGCATAATTGACAAACAACATTATATTAGTTTCAGGTGTACAACATAATGATTCAGTATCTGTATACATTACAAACTGGTCACCACAATAAATCTAGTTAACATCCATCGCCATACACAGATACAGAGCTTTTTTCGTGTGATGAGAACTTCTAAAATTTACTCTCTTAGCAACTTTCAAATTATGCAATACAGTATTATTAACCATAATCACCATGCTATACATTACATCCCTGAAGGCAGAGATTTTCATTGTGTTGTTCACTGCATTTTCCCCAGTACCTAGTAGGTACTCAATAAATATCTGTTGAGCAAGCAAAGTAATGAATGTGGGAGAAAGGAAGTGTCCTTTATTATCTGTCAAAGTAATTGTCACTCAGGATTTATCATAACACTAACAACAACAATCAGAAAATATACATAAATATAACATATTTTGTTACTTTTATCTTTTGATTTTTCTTATTCTGGGAAATAAAGACTTTAAAATTCAGTAGAAGGTCCAAAAGGGGGAGAAGATTAAAACTTAGGAAATTCTGAAACATTAAATCCAGGTAGTATGATTATTATCTTAAGAACAGAACAGAAAAACTGTTTTAAAAAAATCAATGTAGCTAAAGAGGAAGATTGCTGATAATCTCAGACAAAAGTGTATATACAATAACAGTAGATGGAAAAGGGAACACACAAGAATGGAAATAAATAAGCAGCAGGAGCCTCTAAACTGTCCAAAAACAAACTACCTAGACCAAGAAAAGACTTAAGACCAACCAAAAAAAATTTTTATAGCAGCATTCAAAGTATAAAACAAAAAGTAATATTAAGAATGATAATACACGGTTTGGGGACAAATGATGACAACTCAACTTCTATATCGAGAAAACTAAATTTTTAAATAGGAAAGGTACAATACAAATACAACACAATAGAAATACAATCCCCACTGCCTCTTTCATCTTGATTAGAAATAAGTGCAGAATTCTCATTTAATTTTATTGAGTTCTCATCCTGGAGAAAGAGAAAACATTTTCCACAAGGGAGATCAAGATTTTACATGCTTCTTTGTGGTCAGGAGGAAACTAAAACTCTAAATAAGTAAGAACATGGTTAAGAGAAGGTTGAACATGTAATGAATTTATTACCGGAACTGGAAATTATAAATTTAAAAATTTTAAACTTTAAAAAAGGAGTTAAGTTAATATAAAATTCCTCAGTTTTAATTTCTAACATGATAAATGTTGTATACCCATGTAAGCAAGAGTTCTTTGGAGTCCTCAATAACTTGTAAGAGCTTAGGGGGATCATGAGACTGCAAAGTCTGAGAACTACTGTACTTAAGTAAAGACTACTCTATCCCCACCCTAACAAACACAAAAAACAAGCCTCAACAGGATCAACTGACTCAACAGTAATTTAACTGCGCAAACTTCCTACGCAAACAAACGTCAACACTCTTTACACTTTAGGTCAGGAATATATAGCAACTTTAGGGCAAGGAATATTGTCACAGATAGAGGTTTTATAACAATAAAAAAAGCACTTCATTAAAAACACATAACAATCCTAAACATATTTGCATATAATTAAAATACATGAAACAAATTTAAAAGAATAAAAATTCAGAATTAAAAAAATAGACAAAACTGTAATTACAGTTGGAGATTACAACAATCATCTCTCAGAGAACAAACACATACACAAAAAAGATCAGTAAATATAAAGAAGACTTGAAAAACAATCATTTGACTTGCCATTTATAGAATAATATTCCCCAAATATCAGAATACACATTCTTTCAAATACACAAGGATCATTTACCAAGACAGACCATAATGCTAGGCCATAAAACATTTTTAAAAACTGAAATTATACACAGCAAGTTTTCTAACCATAACAAAACTAGAAAGCAATAACCAAAAGGTAACTAGAAAAGCTCCAAATGTTTGGAAATCAATACATTTCTAGAAAAATACACAGATCAAAATTAAATTACAAGGGAAATCTGAAAATATTTTGAATTAAATGTTAATGAAAAAAAAACCACATAAAAATTTGTGAAGTGCAGCTAAAACAGTGCTTACAGGGAAGGTCTAAAATCAATCATCTAAACTTCTACTTTAAGAAGTTAAAAAAAAAAAAGAAAAGCAAATTAAACCTAAAGTAAGTGGGAGAGAAATAAAGATAACTCCAAAAATTAATGAAATAGAAAATAAGCAAAGAGAGAAAAACAGTGAAACCAAAAATTGTTCCTTTAAATGATCAATAAAAGTGATAATCCCCTAGCTAAGGTGATGAACAAAAGAGATGCAAACTACCAATATCAAGAATAAAATACTATGTGTAACTATAGCTCTTACAGGATATCAAGGGAATATTGCAAATAACTTTATAGAAATAAATTCAATATTTAGACCAAATGGACAAATTCCTTGAAAGACACAAATTACCAAAAGTGAAATAAGGAACAGAAAATACGAATATTAAAGAAAATTCATATTTCAAAATGTCCCCTCAAAGAGAACTCTAGCCCTAGATGACTTCACTGATAAATTGTATCAAACATTTAAGGATGATATCAATCTCATACAGAAATGGAGCTACTCAAAAATGGAAGACTGTTATAGCAAGTAGCAAATTCACAGTGTTGGAAATACACATTGGGAGGGAAGCTAAACTTCACTTCCAAAGCTAAGACTGCAGATTCTTTTCACCAGGAATACCACGAGTATTACTGGTGGCGTCTTATCACCATCCTTTTCTTTCCAAACTGGACTTGGGAATGTATCTAAGTTCATGTTAACATCATGTCTATCTTCCCAGACTTATTTTGGACCCAGCCATCAGACTCACCCCAGGAGCTAGAGAGCTTTTTTTAAATATCTGACATCTATGACTTGATTACATTCTGGATATGCAATTCATATGGTATTCCTATTGTATTACTGGAGCATAATAAATTTCTTTAATCATATAGCTGGTAAGACTGGGGTTACTGCTATACCTGTCATAACCCTAGAAACGAGATTTTAAAAATAGGACTAGTTGAATTAGGAAATTATCCCAAAGAGAGACTACTAAAAGTACAAGCCTACCCATTAAATCTTCTTTGTAATGATTTTATAGGATATTTGTATTATTTTTTAAAATTGGGAATTTTAACAAAAACACATTAAGAAATTGTTTCCCCAGTCTTCACAAAATAAAGGCAACTCTGGTCCAGTATAGTGATTTTCATTAGGCAACAAAACTGTTTTTGGAAACTGGAAAAGACACTGAACCTTTAAAACCAATAACTACTTTACATGGAGGATACAGGTCATTATACATTCATTCAAACTCATAGAATATGCAACACCAAGAGTGAACCCTAATGTAAACTATGGACTTTGGGCAATAATGGTGTGTCAAGGTAGGTTCGTCAATTCTAACAAAGGTTCCACTCTGGTGGGAGATATGGATAATGGACGTGTCTATGCATGTACTGAAGCATGGGAAATCTCTATACCTTCTGCTGAATTTTGCTATGAATCTGAAATTGCTCTAAAAAATAGTTTCTTTAAAACAAACAAAAACAACAAAAAGATAACACTAGAGTTACTGATTAAAGAATATGGAGCCTAGTTTACTTACTGTCCACTCCCACCCAATGTATTCACATATCCCCTCATCCCCCCAAAGATATCTCCCTCAAAATCTCTAGGGTTCTCTGAAATACCATTTACAAACTACTTGTAAGACCCTCTGTGGAGTTCATTCTACAAAGTCATGTAAATCAGCACCAGAGGAAAATTTAACCTACCAATCGAGCTATAGACACCCTGAATGTCGGACATGCCATATGGAATCGGGGAATGGCGACATTAAAGATCTTGTCTTTAAAGTAAAGAAAATGGAAGGTATAATATCCTTCCATATAGCCTGATGTTGTAGAGAATGTGGTACAACTTGTATATTCATACACGCGGCCTGGGCTGATGATTGGAAATTCACCTGCAGAGAAAACAGCAACAATAAATCAAAGTATAAAATTTAATTCTTCATTATAGCAAATAAGACATGTCCTCTTTAAACTATATTAAAGTAAATGCATAATTAGAAACAATTTTTAAAGGAAATATAACAAAATGGTAACAGTGATGGGATTAGGAGCATTTTAACATTTTTTGTATTCTCTGAATTCCTCACAGTGGATCTGCATGGGGGGTGGAGGCGGTGATTTCTAGTATCAGAATAAAAACCAGCAAAGGGGAGGTGTTGAAGACACACTCTTTAAGACATGGGTAATAAAAACGGTCACAGACTCTAATTCAAACAGAGATAAGGATAATTTAAATGTTCAAAAGTAGCAAGAGACTAAAACATAAAACTCTGAAGATGTCCCTTCAGCATTTAGCCCAGACAAAGTGCAGTCACAAGGGAGAGAGGTCTTACCCCAACAGACAAAATGACTGAAAAAGAATTACAACGTTAATAAAGTTCTTTAGCACTAGACCCTTAATAATTCCTTAAAAAGAGATGTAGACTATGACTCTACTTGTGGCAATTAATTAAAACAAATTTAAACTGAATCCTACATATGCTTAGGACCAGTAACCGAACTGCATTGCTTAAGTAATAATATTTTCCTGAAGTATAACAAAAGACTGAAGAATCTGAGGGCTCAGAAACTTATGATACTCATAATTTTTTAAAAAGCCAAATGTCAATTGTAATCAGAGGCTAGAGATAATTGACAATAAAATCTGCTATTAATTTTAACATTGCCCCTGAAATTTAAAAAGATGACCAGTATGAAATTTATTTTCTTTTCCTGTCCTATACCTGGTAACCCTATAGAATATGATAATGAATAATTTTCCAGCTAAAACAAATATAAGAAGTTAAGAAGGGAAAGCAAGAAACCCATATGATGGACAGAATGGAGATTCAACCCCTGAATAATTGAGTTTGCTATCCTTTTAGAAAAGTTCATGTTTAAGGTACTAAACTGATAAAATAATGACCTTTATACATTATATCTGTTGTATTATAGTTAGGAGAAGAATCCAGAATCTATGGTATCTTTCATATTGAAATGCCGTCTTATCCACTACTACATCATGTATTTACCAAGCAATTATATGTATCACATATATATTCTCCAAAACGTCTCAGAAGCAACTGATGTTTAAACTCAAATCTTGGGTTACATACCAACTACTCCAGGTCCTTGAACTTCTTCCACATCACCTTTAGCATTTGTTATTCTCCAGTAACGACTGTCTAACTGACAAGCCTTTTCAGGAAGGGCGTCTTTTGACATTTCAATCCTGGAGAAAAAAGGGTGGTAGAGACACATTGGTTTCTTCTGTTTAAGAGCTATAATATTTGAGCTAAGATGGTGAAAGGGATTTCCAAAGTAAATTAAGAAAACCATCTATTCCTGTAAGCTCTCAAAGATACTGGCTGGACTCCACCCACAGAAATGCTTTCATTCAATTTACACACTTGACTGTCAGTTAACAATAGAAAGGGCAACACAAAAATTTACAAAACAGAGTGGTGCCAACAATCTTGTGTTCAAGTGACCAACGTGGGAAACACATTCTAGAATATAGTGCTATGAAAAACTGCTCTAAGAAAATGGAGTCTTTTTTTCACCACAAGGCTATGCAGCCCATTTCCCTTTTCTCCATTAGCTTCTAGAAAGCTCAGAGCAGAATGTCACTATTTCGTGCATCTACTGTTCAGTTACCGGGATCGTCCCTTCACTCTGTTTCCCAACACTACTATTTCCCTCCTTTTTCTGAGAATCTGCTGACTCATTTTCATTTAGAATGCCCTATAAGCATGTATAGGTGTTATTATTTTAAGCATATCTTAATCCTAATCCTAGGCAGGATGTAAATTAAACAATTAAAACAGGTTCATCTGAATATATGTAACTAGACATCAAAGCTAGATACAATACCAAAATCCTAGAATGCTTCCTGGTTAAGTATATGTTACCATTATTTCCAGTATGTATGCATATGTATATATAGGCATTGTAAAAGCCTATACATCATAAAGTATTTAAAAATACATCTAAAAACAAAAAATACATCTTAATATCTTAAGGTAATGAGTTATCTTTACCTCACAGTACAGCGTACTTATTAAAGTGAATTTAGTATGTTTTTTATTTAACCAAATCCAGGGTTTGCTCAGCACTATGTCTAATTATAGAGGCAAAATGAAAAAAAAAAAAAATAATTATAGAGGCTGTATTCAAATAATACTTATTTCATTTTTAACTAAATATAGACAAGCTAGTTAAAACTTAAATGCATAGTTTTATCTTGGGCAATTTCATAGCTTTTTTTTTTGGCCACACTGTGCAGCACGTGGGATCTTAGTTCCCTGACCAGGGATTGAACCTGTACCCACTGCATTGAGAGCACAGAGTCTTAATCACTGGACCACCAGGGAAGTTATTCATAGCTTTTAGAATGCATCGTAACTCTAATACTGAACTTTCATGATGATTACAACTTGGTGGTCTACCTCTCAAAGTACTGGGCATAATACTTATAGTGAAGAAACAACTTAAAGATTGATATAACCTCAAGATATTTTATAAACACTACATTGTAGAAAATTTTTTTGCTATCCACCTACTCCCACACTTTAGCAAGAAGCTGCTTTTCAAAATGTGTTTTCTCTATCATATCAAATAGGGCGATGATAACACATTCATGAGCTATATCCCACAATTTTTTTTTTTAATATCCCACAATTTTAAAAAGCATCCCCATTTAAAATTCTCACCTGATTCGGTATGTGAAGAAATAATGGGGTGGATGTACAGAGCTAAGTTCTGGCAGAAATGATGTGGAAACTGAAACTGTAATATCCCCAGTCGTTGCTACACACTCTGGATCATGAACATATCTAGGTAATTTTAAAAAATTAAACATTTTTAAATCAACAAACCTCAATTCTATAAGATATAAGTTTTAAAGATACAATGCAAAATAGTTTATATTTTACCTTAGGATAAAAAATTTAAAACATATTTGGGACCTTATTAAACTTAAAAAAACAAACAAATTAGAAAACTTTGAAGACTCTGCATCAGTAATGATAGCAGTCAAGGTTCAATGATCAGTGGATCAAATAATGGATTACTAACTAACTTGGAAACTAAAAACAGCTTATTTCAGTTTTCAGAGCTAAGGAAACTTGGAACATCTGAAAACCCAGCTATGCCCTTTAAATGGTGACTGACAATAAAACTGTGTTAATATGTTATTCTAGAGGCCTCTAATGTATAATTAATCTATCATTTCTGCCAACCAGGCCACTGTGAACCAAGATTACCTCTAATACCATCTATAACATGTGAATGTTCCAGAGATAATAAATAACATTTTCCAGGAGTCAAGAGTTACTGCCTTGTTAGTCACAATATATTTATTAATTGGTAATAGCTCCCCTGCCCCCCCCCATTATATAACTACTATAAAGCCATAGCTCCTAAATCAAAATCAGTTTTTTCTCTTGATTCTTCAAGATGAAAAAATACTCGTCATTCAATTGTTTGGATGTTTTGGCTTTAAAATGAGAATAAAATAATGAGATTCAAGATGAGAGGTTCTGGTATTAACCTTCCTGGGAAACTTCATCTCACGATGTGTAACTAATGGTTTTTTCTGATTTATAATCATTCCAAACCAAAAAGGTCTGAGTAAAATACCTGAAAATTTGGTCTCTGATGATAGGGAAGCCACCTGATACAACACTGTTGACATAAGAAGTAAACCAGTCAGTAAAAGTAGCACCTATAAACAAGGAAGGGGGGAGAAAAGGACAAACACATTTTAAAAATCTACACAGGAAACAAGGGGAAAAATTATAATTTCTCTATGCTTAACAGTGGTATCTAGTGATATCAAAACTAGAAACATTTATAGGTGTCATCTACAAATCCTAGGTAAATTTCTATCCTCAATTTTAGCGATCATATTTCCTAACTACCTTGGTAGGGAATCCTTCAACTTCCTTCAAACTACTTTTTAACACTTTAAACAGTTAACTTTTAAATTTTAATTGGTTCTGGCACAAGAATGAAAAGCCTTCTGTCTCTAATTCCTAGAACATATGGAACGAAGGAGATATAGCTACATCTAGGAAGAAACTACAGAAAAAGATATCAGCAGCTGTCTTCAGATGAACAAAGTATATCCCTGGTCTACTAGGCAAATTCTGATTCACACACAAAATTCTGGTAGAAGCCAGGCTCAGTCTACATTTAATAGGGGTATAGCACTGTGGAGTTCTGGACATCAGGAATACCCCAAAGCAGTTTCCCTGGTGGCTCAGATGGTAAAGAATCCGCCTGCAATGTAGGAGACCTGGCTTTGATCCCTGGGTTGGTAAGATCCGCTGAAGAAGGGAGTGGCTACCCACTCCAGTTTTCTTGCCTGCAAAATTCCATGGACAGAGGAGCCTGGTGGGCTACAGTCCATGGGGTTGCAAAGAGTCGGACACGACTGAGCAACTAACACACACAGCCCAGTTGTGCTACGATAGATTTGAATGTCCTCCATATTCTCAGTGACCAACTCGGAGCAGAGAATGACTGGGATAGTCTAGTCCAGACCATACATCTGTGACCTAGTGATTAGATCAATAGCAAGTATTTGAGTGAATTATGTTGCCTCATCTAGGTAATATAATAACTTTCTCAGACCCCTATCATTTATTGTTAATACATCTCAGTGCCTAGAATATATTAATTAGTCCCTTAATCAATGTTGTTCAGTGAATTTCTTCATAATATGGTTTCTATTAACCTAGTTTCTGCATTCTACCACACAAAGTCTGATGCTGAATTTACAATCTGTATTTACTTACAATTCTATTTAGGGAATGATTGAAGATACAATTTAAGCTTGAGTCTTATAGTATACAGCTTTAAAATTTTAAAGGTATCAGTTGAGAGCAGGTAAATTGCAATTGTTGTTGTTCAGTGGCTAAGTAGTGTCCAACTCTGCGACGCTATGGACTGCAGCACGCCAGGCTTCCCTGTCCTTTACTATCTCCCAGAGTTTATTCAAACTCATGTCCACTGACTCAGTGATGCCATCCAACCCAGTTTTCTCTTTTCTCAAAGTCTATTAATGGCTCACTCTGGCCCTTTTTCTATTTCTAAAAAAAATTATTTTAATTGGAGAATAATTATTTTACAATATTGTGATGGCTTTTGCCACACACCAACATGAATCGGCCACAGGCACACGTGTGTCCCCCCGCATCCTGAACCTCTCTCCAACCTCCCTCCCTACCTAATCCCTCTGGGTTATCCCAGAGCACCAGCTTTGGGTGCCCTGCTTCATGCATCAAACGTGCACTGGTCATCTATTTTACATATGGTAATGTACATGTTTCAATGCTATTCTCTTAAACCACCCCACCCTCGCCCTCTCGCATTGAGTCCAAAAGTCTGTTCTTTACATCTATGTCTCCTTTGCTGCCCTGCATGTACGATCATTGGTACTGACTTTCTAAACTTAATATATATGCATTAATATACAGTACTTGTCTTTCTCTTTCTGACTTACTTCACTTGGTATAATAGGCTCCAGGTTCATCCAACTCATTAGAACTGACTCAAATGCGTTCCTTTTTATAGCTGAACAATATTCCATTATGTATATGTACCACAACTTCCTTATCCATTCATCTGTTGATGGACATCTAGGTTGCTTCCATGTCCTAGCTATTATAAATAGTCCTGCAATGAACACTGGAGTACACGTCTCTTTCATTTCTGGTTTCCTTGGGGTGTATGCCCAGCACTGGGATTACTGGGTCATATGGCAGTTCTATTCCCAGTTTTTTAAGGAATCTCCACACTGTTCTCCATAGTGGCTGTACCAGTTTATTTATTAAATCTAGAACATGCCATAGTCTGAACCCACAGAAACTTATACTCTACTCAAGGTTCCAGTTAGGAGATACAAGTATAGATGCCTTGGTCTGGAAGGCCCCTTCACTATTAACACATGAGGATGTTTAATATGTGTTAGAAATACCTCTAAAAAGCAGAACGGATAGTTAGGATGCTTGTCTTACTTGAGCAAAATCTAAGCAAAACAAGAATGAATGAACAACAAAGGGGTGAGATGCTCTTGTATACAGATTGAATTGTTCTCAAAATCCTGAGATGTATATGTATTGCTGAGTCCCTTCACTGTTCACCTGTAACTATCATAACATTGTTAATTGGTTTTAATAAAAAGTTAAAAAAAATCCTGAGGAAAACCCTTTTAAGACCAAGAAAAATCAGGTGTGCCAAGCAGTTTATAAGGCCCAGTTTACACTGGTCTCTGAAGACTGCTGGTTTGAGGTCTCTGGTGTGACTTATCAGTATTTTACTACAGCACTAGCACTAGAAGAGAACAAGTACAGTTATTTCATGGATCTGTATCTCTCTAATTATGTATTAATATGATAGATGGAAAATGCATGTGTGTATAAGGGAACTATATACACATTTCTAGCTATTCCATATATTTCACTGTTCTACAGAAGAATCCTAAGAGAACAAGGTTGTATAGGGCACGGCTTTTTTCCAAGGAGAAACCCAAGTCAAGTATAAGGGCTATTCTAAAAAAACATAGTTATAGTACTTTATGGACCAACAAGCTCTAAGAAATACAAATACAAAATTGCTAGCTGGTCAAGTAACAGACAAGTTTTTACTAACTTAATGTTTCTGACCAGAAGGAAGAAGGGAGAAAAGAAGACTTTTGTTTTACCTATGATAAACATGTCAATAGCAGCTGGATTCCGAGCCATTTGGTCCTAGGTGAGAAAAAGAATATTATAATTGAATATTGTACATTTTACTTAATTTCGTATTATTCATTGTATCCTTCCCTGGGGACAAGGCAGAACAGACAACAATAACTTAAGTGCTCTAAACAATACTCAGACATTCCTCATACTTTTCAGTTTCTGTTTTTATGATTTCTGTATTTAGGCTCTTCCTATCAAGTTCTTAGAAGAACACCAAGCACTTCTCAAAAACAGTTAAAATGCTTATACACTGCTGTCAGTATTCAAATAAACTTAAAAAAAAAAAAAGATCCTTTAAGCGAACAATTAAGATGTTGAAACTATGAGATGATACATGACCTATGGACCCAGAAAACAGGGCTTTGGGTTCAGTCAATGGACCCGAACAATTCTAGAATAATCACTTCCCTCAGGAAATGGAGAGGCCAAGTCATTATCCTACAACCCTACAGAACTACTAAGTCAAAAATGAGAAAGATATGCAAATGCTTAGAAAAAAATTAAAAGCAATGAAAGTTCTTTAAATAATTTAAATTCCTCTTTTAAGTTAAAAGTTCACATCTAGACAAAAACAAAAGCAGCAGGTCTGTAACTGAGGAATGACTGAGAACTGAAGAAATAAGAATGAGACCAAATGACATGATATTCTGTGTGTACATGAAAATCTTAACAAAAACCTCCTAAAAAGGATCTATATTTTTCAATAACCCAAATACATGCTGAAGAAAGAGTTTAGAAAGTTTCCACTGCACTCAGAACTTGAATCAAATGATATGTGCAAATACTAAATTTTTAAAGTTAGATACTGATATTACAATTAATCACCTCAGCAAGAAGCTCATTAGTTTTTCTCAAACTTAAAATGCCTTAACACAAATCGCAGCTTCCCCTCTGTACATACAACTGTTTGCACGGTTTGTCCATTGGTGAAATTTTCTTTTAGTATTTTATGCCATTAAATCAGAGTATTAGCCCTCTAGTTAGATAGGTCTATAATCAAATCACATAATGCTCTATACTCATTCCACAGTCCTGAAAATTCCTAATGTACATTTTATCAGAACACATCTGAAAGCCACCTTTCAACACACTTCCTACTTACTGGACATTGGTAGAAGACTTCATTTTTGTTTCGGCCCTCCGCAGCTTCCACTGCTATGTACTGACTCAAACCAGTGTGTATGCAAAAAGTTAAAGGGAGACAGTATTTCAGTCCCTGTCTCTGCTGGAAGCCTCCAGCAGCCGTGTCGACATCTAACAAATCCTCAGAACGGTAGTGATTAGACAGTGCCATGCTTCCCAACAACCTGAGAACATAGACTCAAAAATTTAGTCAACTGCAACTTTTTTGATGAGTACTAATTTCACATTGACAACTTTATGAAAACTGATTACCATGTCAATTCTAAAGCAGGAATACATGAAACACTACAATTTCTATATATCTTAAATTCAAACTCTTGAGGGGAAAGATTCTGATTTAAATTAAAAGCCTAAATGTCTAAATGTCAACCTTTTAAAAAGTTTTATTGCTTTCAAAAACCTATCTTGCCATAATTTGCCAGCATTTTGCTGTATATGTATGTATGACTAATTTTATGTTTAAAGGAGTATAGTCTCTCTGATACTTCTATCTTGATACAACCTTTAGCTTACTCTGTCCTACCAGGCAGAATAAATGGAGATCAGCTTACACCTTGTTCAAATTTTCAAAAACTTGGGATGTCTGGGGTCTAAACTCATCTCATGGTAGACAAACGAGAATAACACGGGTTTCAGTCTTTGCAAGAGTCTCATCCTAAGCCTCACTGAGCTGTGGATAGATAAAAATCCCTGTGTTGAACTCATGACCTGTTTGTCATGTCAAGTCTGAGCAACCCCTTTAGTAAAGTTCTCTCCTGTTTGTTCTTGAAATATGACAATTTTTCCTTTTTGTCAAGTTGCAGTGTGACAGAAAAACAAGAGTAGAAAAAAAAAAATCAGTGACTTAGGCTTATCTAGTTCTAACTGCCCAGTATTTGACATCTGAACCTCAGTAACCTCAGTATGATCGATCATCTTCTTCTAGATTCCCTGTACTCACTCAACTCCGATCTAAAATGGTAACAGAGCCTCATATGATTTTTCACACACAGAGATACCAAATTCTAAGAAGAACAATGCAAAATTCTCCCTAAATTCCTATTAGCATGTCACAAATGCAAAGTCTCTGAATTAGCTTAACTTCAAAAGGGAACAAAAGGAGTAGAATCATTGAAAGAATAGACCTTTTAAAACCAGGAGTGAATATGACAGTTACTGTACGTTCTGCTTTTACCGAAAGGGTCCACACTGAATATTTCATATCTTTTGGAAGTAAGTTCAAAATAGGCTATTCAATGATAGGCTATGCTTGAATAGGACAAAACTGTATTTTCTTTGGTTAAGTATATGTAGCTCTGAGCAAATTACTTTTTAGATGTATGATACACAGAATTTACACAAGTTCTCCCAAACAATTTACCTGGCCTGTAACAGGGTAAACATTTCAAGGATTCATAACAGTTCTAGTTAAATTATACACATACACACACACACACTCCCCTATCTCATGTCCCATAGCCCCAACTCCAACCAGACTTCATTTAAACTATAAAGATGTATTGATAGAAATGATGATTTTGAGACATAATCTATTTTGGCAAAATCAAATTCAAGCTTTATATTTTGTCTTATGGATTGTTACAAGAAACAAGAGAAAATCTCATACTCCTTTAATCTGTTAAGAATAACTACAAATACAATTTGTTTACATTCTAGAAAATACTTTGTATAATAAAAAATAACCCAAACAGTGAACATCTTACCCAGGAACCACTAACTTCTGCCCATTGTGGATACGATAAGAACACCGATAATCATCAGGAAGCTTGCAGCCGATCTGAGCTTCCACAGCATCTAGGTCTTCCTCTCGAGCACCCTCTGCAGAGACACAAAAGAGCAAATTATGAAACAATGACAGCCTTAAATCTAAGAAGGAATTCCAATGTACCTGCTAGTCAATGAAACAATTTGAGACCAACTGAATTCTGCCTAAAAGGTACTTGCTGAAACATAAGGAAATGAATATACAGAGAACCATTACATCACTTTAGATTGGCTCTGACATCTGAAGCACTTGAGCAAGCAAATCCCCCAGTTTCCTCTCCAGGCGGAAAGCATTGGCATTAAGTAAAATATGGAATGGCAGGCACCAGTGAAATCCACAATAATCTTTCAAATTACACTGCAAACTTAAGAGCATAACTCATTTTTCTTAATCTAATAAACTTCTCTATTTAAAAAAACTCTCCAGAAGTCCTCTGTAACAGATGTTGTTCAAGAGTCTTCACCAAGCTTCTCAATGAGGAATACAGGACTTAGGTGTAGGCTCATTCTAGGAGGACATAACCTAGCATTTGATTTTCATGTTTGTAAGCCTGCCACATAAACTAGCTTTAAAAAGTATCATTACTAATACCAAGAGAAGAGAGTCACTCCCAGCAATGGCCCACCAGGCTGCTGGGCCAAACCTTCTGCTTAGAAGTAGAAAAAATGAACAGAATATCGGTTTCAAGGTTTTTGGAGAACCTCAAAGGCAGTGAGAACCAGCAGGGTCTGGGCTGGGGGAGGCTGGTCCCGAACAGGGAAACTTGAGAGTTTGGCCAGGCCATTGGAGCTACCTTGTCTTTGAGGCAACTACCAATTCTGAAAGCAAACACAAAGCTGGGAAACTGAGCAAAGCTTTCAGCATTATCACAGGGTTGAGAATCTTCCAAAATTGATGAAAACAATTCAAGCAGCACTGTAATTACAAAGAAAATCATTACCTAGACACATTACTGGAAAACTGCTGAAAATCAAAGACAAAGAGAAATCTTAAAAGCAACCAGAGAAGGGGGAAAAGCCACAGTCACTTTCAGAGGAATGACAGTTAAGACTGACAGCTAAATTATCTACAGAACAACAGAAGCTAGAATAGTATCTTCAAGTGCTGGAAAAAACAACAACAACAACTGAATTCTATATTCAGTCAATTTATACTTCAAAAGTGAAGATGAAATAAATACATTTTTCAACCCCCCCCAAAAAAATCTGAAAATATTCAGCAGTTGCAGTTCCTCATTAAAAAAAAAAAATACTAACAGGAATTCTTCAGGCAGAAGAAAAATTACCCCAGATGGAAGCATGAAGATACAGGAAGAAATAAAGGGCAACTAGAAGAGGTAAATATGGAGGTAAATCTAAAATAATATTGAACATATAAAATAGTAATAATGTTTTCAAAGATATAAAATATGTTAAACTAAAACCATAAAACTATAATACAAAAGATAAGAGGGATGTAACTGAAATTAAAGTATTTTAAGGATCTTTCATTGTTTAGGAAGTGGTAAAAGTACTAATTTTACAATAGGCGTCAATCATGTCATATATACATATTTTAATTTCTAGACTAATCACTAAAAGAAGTTTAGTGAAAGGAAGGTAAGAAAGGAAAGGAGGTATGGAATAAAAGATAATTAAGAAGAATGCAAAAAAAGGAAAACCTACTTAGGTGGCACCATTAAAAAGTAGAAACAAGGTATGCACACATGCCTGCTCAGTCACTCAGTCAAGTCCAACTCTTTGCGACCCCAAGGACTGTAGCCCACCAGGCTCCTCTGTCCACGGGATTCTCCAGGCAAGAGTACTGGAGTGGGTTGCCATGCCCTCCTCCAGGGGACCTTCCTGACCAAGGGATCAAACTGCGTCTCCTGCATTGGCAGGAGATTCTTCACCACCGAACCACCTGGGCTTCCCAGCAACATAATATATTTACATTCAAATGTATTAGTGATTATGTTAAATATAAACAGACTAAATAATCTAATTAAAAATCAGACTGACAGACCAGATGAAAAACAAAACACAATCATACACAAGAGGTACATCTTAAAGATGTAAACACAGAAAACTAAAATAGCTCTACTAAAATCATACAAAATAGACTTGAAGGCAAATAGCATTATTTGAGGTAATGGAGGACTTTCTGTAAAGGCAAAAAGGTTAAATTCACTACACAGGCATTATAACTTTAGTTTTGTACATCTAATAACACAGCTTCAAAATATATTTTTTAAATGACAGAATTAAAATGGAAAAAAGATTATCTATAATTATAATGGATATATTCGTTTTCTACTGCCACAATATTAGAAGTGTCAAGCAACACTCATTTACTATTTCAGTTTCTGCAGGTCAGAATTCTGGGCATGACTCAATTGGATCTTCCGCTCAGGTCCCACAAGGCTGAAATCATGGTGTTAACTGGGGCTGCTAGCTCATTTTATGCATCCTTTGCTTGGGGTTCTCTTCCAGACTCTGGTTATTGGCAGAACTTAGTTCTTTGCAGTTGCAGGACTGAAGTTCTCTGCTCTGAGAAGCCATCTGCCATTCCCTATCAGCTAGCCCTCTCCACAACATGCCAATTTGCTTGCTCATGGCCAGTAGAAGAGATACTCATGCTCTGAATCTCTCTGACTTCTGGAAGGGTCCAGTTCCTTTTAAGTTCCCTCTGGGTCAGGCTTGCTCAGGATAATTTCCCTTTTGATTAATAATTAATTCAAAAACAACTAATTTTTGACTTTCATTACATTTGTATAACCCCTTTACCTTTTGTCGTATAATATGACCTAATCACAGGACTAAAATCAATTATATCCATAGTACCACTCATATTTAAGGCAAGACAATCATTGTATCAGGCATGTACCACAAAGATGGGAATCTTGGAAACTTTCTCAGAACTCTGCCTACCACAGTAAGGAATTTTAACATATCTCTCTCAGTAACTAACAGAATAAGTATAGATGATTGAATAGGATTAACAGTTTATATATAGTACTAATTGGCAACAATAGCAAAAAATATATAGGAGAGATACCTATTCTTTTCAAGTATACATGGAATATTTCCCAAGATAAATTATATGCTGGACACACAACAAATCACAATAAATTTCAAATGACTGAACTCATATAGAGTATATTCTCTGATCACAGTGGAATTAAAATATAAATTACATTAAAAAGATTACTAAAAAAGCCCCCAATGTTTGGAAATCAAGGAATACATTTCTATACAATCCATGGGTCAAAGAAGAAATCACAAAATATTTTGAACTGCATGTTAATGAAAACACAACATATTCAAACTTGTGGGATGAACTTAAAGCTATGTTTAAAGGGAAATTTATACACCTAAACAGATTTGAAGAAAATTAGAAAGGCTGAAAACTCTATAAGTAATCATCTCAAGTCAGGAAAAAGTGACAATAAAGTAAACTCAAAGAGAAGTCAGCGAAATTAATGAAATAAGAAATAAGATATTAATATACAGAGGACTGACAAAGACAAAAGTCAGTTCTTTGAAAACATTAATAAAATTGATAAGCCCCTTCCTAACAAAACTGATCAAGAATAACAGAAATAATAATATCAAATAATATCAGAAATGGAAAGGTGAAATCACTACTGATCCAACGAGCATTACAAAGATAAGAGGATATTATGAAAAATTTTATAGCAATAAATTGGAAAATGTACACAAAGTACACAATTTCCTAGAAAAACACAACTTACCAAAACTGACATAAGACTAAGTAGAAAATCTGAGTAGTCCTAAATCTGATAAAGAAATTGAAATTTAATTTAAAACCTTCCCACAATGGAAACTCCAAGATTGAATAGCTTCACTGGTAATATTCTACTAATCATTTAAACAAGAAATAAGACCAAGCTTACATAAACTCTTCCAGGGAACAGAAAAAGAGGCAACACTTCCCGACTCGTTTTACAAGGCCAGCATCATCTTGATACCAAAACCTGACAAGAACATTGCAAGAAAGGAAAATTACAGGCCAAACTCTCTCATGAGCATAGATGTAAAAACCCCAAATACTAGCAAATCAAATCCAACAATATATAAAAAAGAAAAGATAATACATTCTAACCAAAGTAAGTTAACTCCACGAATGCAAAACTGGTTTAACATTCAGAAAATCAATGTAATTCAGAGCATTAACAGAATGAAGTAGAAAGGGATTTGATAAAATTCAATTATTCATTTAAAACACAAAAACAAAAAACCCTTTCCCCAAACTAGGATCTTAAGGGACTTCCTTCATTATGCTAAAGAGTATCTACTAAAAACCTATAGCAAACATCATCTTATTGAAAGCTCTCCCTCTGCAGTTGGAAAGATAAGGATACTCACTATTATCATTTCTACCCAATACTGCACTGAAGGCCCCAGCCAGTTCAATAAAGCAAGAAGAATAAAGATATGACATATAGGGATTGGAAAGCTAGAAATAAAACCGTCATTCTACCTCCGTAAGGATATGCAAATTAAAATCACCATACACACATTAGAAAGGCTAAAATAAAAACAATGACAACATTAAAGTGCTAGTCGGAATGTAAAGTGGTAAAACCGTTTTGGAAAATTAACAGTATTTTTTAAAGTTTAATGTAAGCATACTATACCACCCAACAAATGCAATCCTAGATATTTGCCTGATATGCTCATAAGTACATCAAAAATGATTTACAAACAGAAATAGAGTCACAGACGTAGAAAATAAACATAGGATTGGGGGGCAGGGATAAACTGGGAGACTGAGATTGACATATACAGACTACTATACATAAAATAGATAACTAATAAGGACCTACTGTAAGGAACGGGGAACTCCACTCAACACTTGTAATGACGTACAAGGGAAAAGAATCTAAAAAACAGTGGATATATGTATGTGGATAACTGACTCCCTTTGCCATACAGCAGAAGCTAACACAACATTTTAAATCAACTATGCCCTAATAAAAATTGCTTTAAAAATGATTTACAATATTATTTATAATAGTCAAAGACTAGAAATAAACTATCCAGCAACAGTA